CAGGGTCATTTTTTTTCTTTAACAGGTAACATTTGCCCATGTCAAAATGCTTATTATGCGAAATTTGGCATAGAAACATACATTAAGGAATTAATACATTCTAATTCATGTTTCTACACATTTAAAAACCTGCTTTAGTATGAAGCAAAGGTTTAGAATATACTTTTGGTAGTCAATGTCACTGGTGTTGCCTGAATATTAAAATGCAGTAGGTTCATCACTCACCTTTGACCTGCTAAAACTCTAAACACCTAATAAAAATACCATATAAAACTCAAAGAATGAACTGTTTCAATGTGAAAAAACAATTCTTACCTTAGTGTGTTACAGAAATTGTATAGTTTCTCCCCTCAGACAAGAATGACAGGGGCACCCTGATCGTGAGAATAGTATCCACACAAGAGATTACGGCAATACAAGAGTGGTACACACTACCCCACTGACACATTGAAACTAGACGAGCAGTCTTTCTATACCGCCACCACTAGCGCATGTGTGGCTCACCCACTACCACTCCCACAAACATCATCACAAATTAAACATACATTGCCGATTGACGTTCATAGCTTCCGAAACCTACTCTTAATTTAAATGATTGCTATTTTTATGTTTGTATCAAAGATCTATTGGGAATCATATGTATTAAGATTAACTATAATACAGCATTCACTGTCATAAATTCCTGCCAGAGAGTATCCACCGTGTTAGCTTCAAGCTCCGCCTATCTACCCATATAAGGTGGCGTGCGGAAGAGCTGCCATCAGCTACTTCGAATGTTATTTTTTAAGCGGTATTTCTTACGATTTAGGTACGTTGCAAAAAGACGTTTACTATAATTCGTCAAATTAACAAGTATTTTTCTTGTTTTTTATGCCAGAATTGATGTGTACATCATATAAATAAAAGTGAGAGCCAACAGCTGGTTACGTCACAGTGACGTCACTCGCCGGACCAACACTTCCAGCTGACCAACCTAAATATGATGTCACAAGACTGAATAAACTCCTTATTAATTTCTTATATACCTTTTTAAACACGCGTGAAATTTAATTTTACATGCAATGTAAAATAACATGTTTACTTTCAGCAGAGACGACTTAATACGTTTACACACAAAAGATTTCTTTGACTTAAGAAGTTATTTCTTCCCTCCACACTGGACACTTGGCATCCTTCTCGCCCTTTAACAACTTTCGGAAGTACGAGAGGAAGTTCTTAATTCCGCCAGTAATTAATAGCTGGATACCCACCAGCAGCATCTTCGCCTCACTATTTAACAGCTTTCGTGCACCAAAATGACTAATAAAAGTGTGACGGGCACAAAATATAAAGGGCAATGTGCCCTGGGGCAGCTAGTTGGAAATGAATGAGTCACATCTCTCCAGGTGATCTAGTGAACAAGAATATACCTGACGTCACATACAAATAATTAAACACTATGTGTTTAATTGTCCACTTATTGAGGAATATAGAGGCAGCCAGTATAATAACGTATGTGACATGTCAAGATATCTTATTAATGAAAATAAGATGCCAGGGATATATTAAGTAAATTTCCTAAATTTGCTTGTAACAAATAAGTGAACTGTAGATATAAATCCAGGTATATTTCTGTTAAACCTTTTGGGGCCTAGTTCCTAGTCCTTTTGTGTATCCATATGCTCTTGTGCTACCGTCCACTGGATAGATATGGGGTGCACAATACACTAGCCACTCCGGTGGCAAAATCTAAATCTAATCTGATATACAATGGAACACAGAGGTTATATATAATGACGTGTAAATAATACAGACACGTTATATTTATGCATATGCATAAAATGTCGTGCCGAATAGGTAAAACTGGTCAATTAGCAATAACTCGTTTAAAATTAAGTCCTTTCTAAAATTTTCTCTTATACGTTTAGATATATTTTTTCATTTATGTTAATGTAAAAATGAATAATTTTGTACTAAAAGAACCTTAGAAAACTTGCGTAACCTTATTATAACAAGCGCAATTTAATTTAGCCTAATCCAACTAAATGTATTTTTGATAAGTTTACAATATTTTAATAATAAACAAACACAATTAAATATTTTTTTTTGTTAGGTTTAGAATGATTTTTGCGAAATTATTGCATACACAAGTTTTCGCTTGCCTTATTCGGCAAGAAGAGCGTTGCTATTTAAGCCAAAATCGTAAGTTTTACCTATCCGGCACGACATATATATATGGGACTAAAGTATCCTTGACTGGTGAACAAGTTATATGCAACTTAATGACCCTCCTCGTGTATTCAAGGGGCTTTAAATCCAAGCTTATATATAAGGCGACAACGGAGAGGTGATAGGAGACGCCAAGCTATCCACACAGTCAAGGTCGCCCGCTGCCGTCAAAGAAGAAAGTTGTCCCACGTGCTGTATGTCAGGTGATTATGTGGTGAGCTCACCTGTTTTGTTGCAATCCTTCCACTCCTCTCCCCTGCCTGCACAGCTGCAGTCCTACCACACCTTTCCCGTTTGTAGTGTTGCAGTTTTACCACACCTGCCTGCAGTAATGATGCAGTTCCTAACCCCCCCTCCCGCCTGTAGTGTTGCACAGTACAACATTGCAGCCACCCATAACAGTGAATATACTCAAAACACTGTATCCACCCACAACACTGCTTTCACCTACAAGACCGTGAATCCATTCACAATACCGTAAATCCACCCATAAGATCGTGAATCCACCAACAACACCGTAAATCCTCCCACAACACAGTTCATGAATGCAACCTCAACACTGAATTTACCCAGAAATACTAAATACACCTACTACACTATGGTCCGCATCATGAACCTACTCGTATTTTTTTTAATGCTGAAGAATGCAGTTTTAAACTTCTCATAGTCTTAAATCACACAGTCAACTGTAACTGACTTGGCAGTTTTAAGTCTCATCATTATATTTTCAGGTACATAGGGCAAAAAGTTCTTCCTCTGCCACAATACTACGTTAATACTGCAAAACTGTCGACACTTGAGTCATAAACGAAAAAAGATTACCTGGAGGATGAAATTGTTTTTTTTTTGGGAGCGAAGCTCCATTGAACTGTCCTTTGACCTTATGATCTTGACTATCAAATTCAACTGAAATCTATTAAATCAGTGTTCTATAGATATTAAGCTCACACAATATTGTAAAGCTGTCACTGCTGCTTAAAGATAAATTGGAAAAGAAAAATATTTTTTTTTTGTTGGTGCCTAGCAAAAGTATAAAGTATTGTGCAGGTGAAATCGCAGATCTAGAGAGTGTACAGAGATCCTTTACTGCACGTATAAGTTCTGTCAAGCACCTTAACTACTGGGAACGCTTGGAAGCACTTGACTTGTACTCGTTGGAACGCAGGAGGGAGAGATATATCATAATCTACACTTGGAAAATCTTGGAAGGAATGGTCCCAAATCTGCACACAGAAATCACTCCCTACGAAAGTAAAAGACTGGGCAGGCGATGCAAAATGCCGCCAATAAAAAGTAGGGGCGCCATTGGTACACTAAGAGAAAACACCATAAGTGTCCGGGGCCCAAAACTGTTCAACAGCCTCCCATCAAGCATTAGGGGAATTGCCAATAAACCCCTGGTTGCCTTCAAGAGAGAGCTGGACAGATACCTAAAGTCAGTGCCGGATCAGCCGAGCTGTGGCTCGTACGTCGGACTGCGTGCGGCCAGCAGTAACAGCCTAGTTGATCAGGCCCTGATCCATCGGGAGGCCTGGTCGTGGACCGGGCCGCGGGGGCGTTGATCCCCGGAATAACCTCCAGGTAACCTCCAGGTAACCTTGAGGTTCAACCTGTCTCGACCACATTCAATGAATATGTTGGCAAGACTACAACAGATTAATACATAATAACTGAGTAATATCGACAGGAGTTTAGCTGTTGCGGAAACACATGAACTGACAAGTCACATGAATGCATGTGACTTCTCAAAATAAAACAGGGTGGCAATGACCAGTTCAATTCTGGCGAAAGCGGTGAACCCGTGTACCTAATAAAAAAATATGGAACAAGAACATTATCGGTGGAGCCTCGAAGTGTGCTGCTATATGCTCTTCCTTTATATTCCAAACACACACACACACATACACATACACACACACACACATATATAATATATATATATATATATATATATATATATATATATATATATATATATATATATAATATATATATACATACATATATGTGTGTGTGTGTGTGTGTGTGTGTGTGTGGTTGATATCGTTAAGATCTTTCCTATGCAGTGTTAAGAAATGGATCAAACTGTGGCCGACGAAGGAAAGGGTGAGGAAAACAAGCTTATAATTTCCACACGTTCGAATAAATGCAAAGAAAAATGTAAGACCGTTATCATTTCATATATAATATATATATATATATATATATATATATATATATATATAATATATATGCAAAACAACCACTCTGAAAGAATAGAGAAATTCCAAGCGCTTTCGTGACTACTCACATTATCAAGGAACTATGTTAGTTGATAATGTTCCTTGATAATGTGAGTAGTCACGAAAGCGCTTGGAATTTCTCTATTCTTTCAGAGTGGTTGTTTTGCATATTTTGAAGAACTATGTTTAGTTGATAATGTTCCTTGATAATGTGAGTAGTCACGAAAGCGCTTGGAATTTCTCTATTCTTTCGAGTGGTGTTTTGCATAATTTTGAAATCACCTGTTTACTGTGATCTTATTGCATATATATATATATATATATATATATATATATATATATATATATATATATATATATATATATATATATATATATATATATATATAAAATGATAATAGCGTAATACTTACCTAAGGGGCTACAATTTGCTGCAAAAATAGCTGGAAGGACTAACAATACACTGTACTTAACCAGGGAATAAGCCACTAGGGCATTACGATGATGGATGCTAAACACTGCCTAGCTTTGTGGTAAATTGATTTGCAAAGAAAAGTAATTCTTCCGTACCTTCGGTGTAGGCCATTTTTTTTTTTAGGCTGCGGAGACCCAGTCAGTCTGAAAAGTGTATTATATTAAAATTTGGGCATTTTATAACATTCAGTCTTAGTAATTGTTTCCTATTAAACCTAAGACATACCTAAAACAAGCAACAAAAGCAATTACTATAACCTTAACACGAAACCTAGCTCGAGGCAGGAATTTCAAAATATATATCTTTGATCTAGTTATTCTAAAATTAGCTTTATTATTCCCTGATCGACACTCAAAATATGGTTCAAATTATTATTGCATTCACGAGGTAGCATTAAACCCGTAGGGGGTTATACATATACAACATGGACTGTTTCAAAAAAGCTTAGCAATGGCTGCAAAGACGTAAAAGGACAACTGATCTAGGCTATAGAGTTGTTTTGATGTTAGGCCACTATTTTTTCATTTAACTGTTTTTAAATTAGGTGGAAAACTTACCAGCACATCCTATATGATCTTTATTTTTCTTACGAAGATAGACCGGTAAGCGAGTGGGTCAAGTCATTAAAACCAGCGTCAGCATAAATTTTCATATTCCTCTGGGCAAACAATATGTAATAAAGTTGGTAGAATTACCGACAATATGTAAAGTAAAAGGACACAAGTGCAACTAATGTGACATTTATTGTGGCAACGTTTCGCTCTCCAGGAGCTTTATCAAGCCATGTATTGTTTGTAATGGCTTGATAAAGCTCCTGGAGAGCGAAACGTTGCCACAATAAATGTCACATTAGTTGCACTTGTGTCCTTTTACTTTACAAACAATATGTCTTGAGCGTTCTACTCAACTGTTCCTCTATTCGCTCTTAAATCAACTGGTTCATAAAGATGGATTACCTGTTATTTTTAGCATCCCAAATTGCCGACTTTAATCACAATCTCGACTTATTCACAGAAACGCACGTTTGGGTGCAAACAAAACAAAAGCAACAATAAAAACAATGTAGAAGAGCAGAAATAACGGATATACGTAATAGGATTTTATCTTCCATTGTTCCTGAATACAATGCGTGGGTGTGTATTCACCTATTTGAATTTACAGGAGTCGAGTCCTGACCCCAGCACCGCATTGTGATCACCGTATTTTGTTTTCGGGGATGGATACTCAGCTCCTGTCTTCGTCGGCCGCTTCTGAGTTCATTCTCTCCTGACTTCGAGAGCTCCTTCCATGCTGTACTGTCTTACTCTTACTAATCTGCATGTCCTTGCATTTGTTTAAATTGAACTTTATTAGACACTTCTTTGGACCATCTTTACAGTATTTCCAGGTCTCCTTGAAGCTTATCTCTGACCTCTCTAACTCGTATCCAACCTATATCCTATTAGGAACAGCAACGGTCCTAACACTGACTCTAGCGGGACCTCACACGTTACTCTCTCTCTCTTGATAGCTTTTGTTTCAGGTACTCCATCCACAGAATCACTCGGCCGTTTATTTCTGCCTGGTCTAATTTTTAGACTAATCTCGGATGTGGTACTGCATCAGATTTTTTTTCAGAGCAGGATGATGCAGTTCGTCAATCCCTGTCTTTGTTTTATTTCTATGACGGTCATATAACTCCATTATGAGGAAATGGTACGGTGATACCGACAAGATGTGGAAAAAGACACTTATGACAGTTCAGGACATTTATCAAAGGAAACGTTTCGCCACGAGTGGCTTCTTCAGTTCTAATACAGAGAAAATAAAGAAACGCGTATATTTAGTCAGGTGAAGCGTCGTGTGGGTAAAGGTGGTAGTCATAGTAGTAGTGAAACTAAGGAGGTGAAACGGATGGTTACAGAGGGACCTGTTGACATCATGTAACAGCAGTTTCCAGAATGGGTAATATCCTGTTGATTAGCAATTTTGAGATACTGTAACTACCGGACTTTTGCTTTATAGTGTTACTGACAGCAGTTAGGGCAGCTTCTATGCATTTTCTCCGTCTTAAGTCGTCTTCATTAATCACTAGTTTAGCCTCACTGAATTTCATGAGGTGCCCAACATCGTCCCTATGTTGAACACACGCGTTTTTGCAGTCATCAATTCTGCAAGCATTTTTGTGTTCGGTGATCCTAATGTCCAGAGATCTGGCTGTTTCCCCTACATGTACTTTGTCACACACCCCACATGGTATAGTGTAAATTCCTGCACTTTTGCCAAAATCATGCTTGGGTTTTTGTATCAGGTTCCTAATGGCAGTTGAAGAGCTGGTAGATATTTTAGCCAGTTTTCTGTCAAACATTTTTGAAACGCTAGTGGCAACATTGCTGACCGGTAAAACGATACAACTTGGAGACTTCTTCAGCTTGATTGATGTTGGGCTTGTTGAGAATACGTGTCGCACGTTTCCTGCAGTCATGTATGAAGTGTAGGGGAAAGTGTGGTGAACTAAAAGAATTGGTGATGCATGTGCATTCTTCGAGGAACTGCGGACTGGAATTTCTTACTTTAGGTTTGAAGACAAGAAGTAAAACAACTCTTCGGGCTAGCTATGGGATCCCCCCTTAGTACAGTACTTGCTAATTTATATATGGAGGACTTAGAATCCAGACGAACCTCAGTAACATCCCAAGTTCAGTTACATGGATGCGACGTCGTTGATATTTTGGTGTCCAAAATATCCAAAGATTAGATGCACCTGGCATCATCAACATCATCACACTACTAACAATATAACAAATGTACAAAGGAAAGAAGACCAGCCAGTTTTACTTTTCCTCGACGTTTAAACTACTTCTTGAAAACAGACTTCTCCTAAAGTCCACGAAACCTCCCAGACGATCTTCTCTTCTACCTACACCAAACAAGAATAAAAGATGGTGTTTTGGCTACTTCTTACCTGATACCTGAGGTTACCTGGAAGGTATTGGGGAATCAACGCCCCCGCGGCCCGGTCCACGACCAGTCCTCCGATGGATCAGGGCCTGACAGACCAGGCTTACTGCTGCGCACAGTCGACTACGACACAGCGTATCCGCACTGACTTTAGGGATCTGTCCACTCTCTTGAAGGCACAGGTTTATTGGCAATTCCCTAGCTGATGGGGGCTGTTCCAGTTTTGGGCCGGACATATGGTTTTCTCTTAGTGACAAGCGCCCTACTTTTAAAATGGCGTCATTGCAATCTGCCCTACGTCAAAAATCTTTACTTCGTAGGAACTGTTTAATTGTCCAGGCTTTGACCAATACTATCCAAGAATTCCAGTGAAAAATCCAAATATCTCTCGCCTACCGTTCCACGAATTACAATCAAGTGCGTTGTAGCGCAAATATATTAGGTGTAGACAAACATCTTGACATTAGGATCTCTGAACACAAAATGATCTGCGAAAATCGACCTGCCGTAGGAATGTTTTAATATACGGCGATTTCAGACAGAAGAAAAGTGATTGAAAGGTAAATATGAGTTGGAACGTTTTGGAAAATTGCTACATCCTACCCTTATCTTTGCAGTGCGATCGATGCAGATGAGATCCGTAAGTGAGACCTAAAGTACACTGCAGGTACCCTTGACATTTTTTCCGCTATTGTTTGGCCGAGTCATAGTATACTTTATCTAGGTTATTATCTCCTCCGGTTCCAAACGTGCACATAAATTCATTATTGACTCTGTACTTTTTTACTACGCTGGAATTCACCAATTTATATCCGTTGGAGGTTTACAGTGCTCAAAATTGTAGATGACAGCCTATGCGATTTGTATATCCGCTAATATGTCACAGGCCTCTGTACCTGTTTAATCCTGTTTATGTCTATATGAAAACTACACCATGCGGGCGAGTACGGCCTTACAGACTCCCTTCACTCATATAATACGGTTTCTTATCTTTCTTTTAGATTGTAAGAGCCAGTTGAAGATTCCTTTAACACATTCCCATGATTCCTTTACAGTATTTTTCCCATACGCCAATCATTTGACAAGATGCTTTTAAATCTTTATATTCATCTAAAGAATTTCCTTCCGTCTCCAAGGCCATGTCATAGTTCCAGTAAATCTGTGAGAGCAGGAGCGACCTGCCCTGAACCCATGTTGCCCTGGATTGTGCAGATTTTGGGAATCCAGGTGATTCTTGAGAGCCTACAGAATTTCCAGTCCGCAGTTCCTCGAAGAAGAAAGCACATACTCACCAATTCCCTTTTAGTTCACTATACTTTCCCCTATACTTCATACGTGACTGCAGGAAACGTGCGACACGCATTCTCAACAAGACCAACACCAATCAAGTTGAAGAAAAGCCTCCAAGTTACATCGTTTTACCGGTCAGCAATGTTGCCACTAACGTTTCAAAAATGTCTGACAGAAAACTGGCTAAAATATCTACCAGCTCTTCAACTACTATTAGGAACCTGATACAAAAATCCAAGCATGATTCTGGCACAAGTGCAGGAATTTACACTATACCATGCGGGGTGTGTGACAAAGTATATGTAGGGGAAACAGCCAGATCTCTGGACATTAGGATCACCGAACACAAAAATACTTGCAGAAATGATGACCGCAAAAACGCGTGTGTTTAACATAGGGACGATGTTGGACACCTCACGAAATTCAGTGAGGCTAAACTAGTGATTAATGAAGACGAGTTAAGACGGAGAAAATGCATAGAATCTGCCCTAATTGCTGTCAGTAACACTATAAAGCAAAAGTCCGGTAGTTGTAAAGTAAAAGGACACAAGTGCAACTAATGTGACATTTTATTGTGGCAACGTTTCGCTCTCCAGGAGCTTTATCAATGGCTTGATAAAGCTCCTGGAGAGCGAAACGTTGCCACAATAAAATGTCACATTAGTTGCACTTGTGTACTTTTACTTTACATACTGTCGGTAATTCTACCAACTTTATTCCAGTCCGGTAGTTACAGTATCTCAAAATTGCTAATCAACAGGATATTACCCATTCTGGAAACTGCCGTTACATGATGTCAACAGGTCCTTCTGTAACCATCCGTTTCACCTCCTTAGTTTCACTACTACTACTACCACCTCTACCCACACGACACTTCACCTGACTCCTTCAATTATATATACGCGTTTTCTTAGTTTTCTCTATTTTAGGACTGAAGAAGCCACTCGTGGCGAAACGATTCCTTTAATAAATGTCCTGAACTGTACATAAGTGTCTTTTTCCACAACTCCAATATGTTTGACAGGATTTCCCATTCCTAAATTCATGCTGGTTTTCTCTAAAGAATCCTCTCCTCTCCAGAAGCTCCAATTTAATTTCCACACAATCTTCAAAACACTATTATAATAGGCATGTTAAAGATACTGGCCTGTGGATTGAAGGTAGCCCGTGGCTTGATATGCAACACTCGCTTCACACGCTGTGTCCGTGGTTCGAGCCCCAGCAGGGATGAAAACATTGGGCGTGTTTCCTTACACCTGGTGCTCCCGTTCACCTAGCAAGCGATTAGGTACGTGTTAGTCGACTGGTGTGGGTCGCATCCTGGGGGACAAGATTGAGGACCCCAGTGGAAATAAGACGACAGTCCCTTGGTGACACACTGCTTTTCTTGGGTGGCTAACCCGCCAGGGTTAAAAATCCGAACACAATCTTAATAACCTACATAGAGATATAAATAACAGATTGTATTTCGGTCTCCGTCTGAGATCTTCAGCAGTACAGAAAAAAATAGTCTGCGTGTGTATTGTGTGTGTAGATCAGATTTAGAAGTCACATGTTGAGGGGGGAGGGGCACTCAAGTCAAATAGCTGACTCTGAGCTGAGCAGCTGGGATCAGTGCAGTAACTTACACTTCTGTGGTGCATGCAAAGTTACATGCTGCCAGCTGGTGTAGTCATATATGTTGTCAGCAGTCCAAGTCATACACGTTGTTAGCAGTCTTGGTCATACATGTCAAATCCTAATTGTGCACAATGTCAGTAGCCAGTCATATATGCTGTCAGCAGCCATCGTCATATACTGTCAGCAGTTCTATTCATACACGTTGTCAGTAGTCCTAGTCATACACGCTATCAGCAGTTCTAATCATACACACTGTCAGCTATTCGCTATGAAAATTAATTGGCCTGGTGGCTAAAGCTCCCGCTTCACACACGGAGGGCCCGGGTTCGATTCCCGGCGGGTGGAAACATTTCGACACGTTTCCTTACACTTTGTCCTGTTCACCTAGCAGCAAATAGGTACCTGGGTGTAAGTCGACTGGTGTGGGTCGCATCCTGGGGGACAAGATTGAGGACCCCAATGGAAATAAGTTAGACAGTCCTCGATGACGCACTGATTTTCTTGGGTTATCCTGGGTGGCTAACCCTCCGGGGTTAAAAATCCGAACGAAATCTTATCTTATCACCTGTTAAGTTTTAAACGATGGGCGTTTTCTGTCTTGTATCATGGAACAGTATTTTCAACGCCAGCTATGTTACCCTTTCTATGATATCCTAACATGTTATACTGATAAATTAGTCTAGTCATCACCATCACAATGCACATATCAACATTATTATAAAAGCACGTCACTCCACAAATTAGTAATTACAATAAACATGACAAAATTACTATGAACATAACACTGGACACGTCACTTTTATCACTACACAAATCATTACCACGGTACTACGTCACTACAGTACATAGTGACCCTCACAACTAAACAACAGGGGGATTAGTGGCTAGCATCTTCCCTAACGGACCCACCATTTCCCTCTCAGCTGACTCTCAGTTACCTATTCATGCTTAAATGCACTACATTACATCTTTGCCTCTCTTATCTCCTCCTCCGAACTGTATACACTTACCCAAAAAAACTCTTCATATGAGAAACAAATGTGTGTATTCTATGAAAGCCTCGGTATATTTTAAAAAATAATTATGAGACTAGACTATGCATGCAGCATCTTCAGGAGTGACCTTGGTGAATTCGAACCTTGGTGAATTCGAACCTTCCCGCCACCCAACTCAAGTCTTGGCACAAACGTTTACTACTTCATTATAATGCTCATTTTTCTAGTTGTTAAATGCAATGTTACTCCTACTGTTTAATATATATTGTGACAGGCTTGAAGAACCTAGCTTAACAGTACCGGAGGCACGAAGGAAGAGAGGGGACATAGTCAGGACGTTCAAGATACTACTCAAGTATTCACAAGATGGATGTAGCTAGAGTAGATAAGGGGTTAGAGTCTCAGAGTAGGACCAGACTTGTTACTTGTGTATATCATCCGCAATGACTATATGGGATACGTAAAACTATTCAACTGTGAATACAAATTATTTGTAATACATTTAAAAGTGGCTTGCGCAAATAAATTGCAAACAAGAAACACCCATCAGAAAAAAATAGGTACCTGTGTATTCTGTCACATATTCCTACTCACCTATTGGTGGTTACACTCTCCTACTGGGTTCACTCCCTCCCTCCCGCCACCATAAGTGTCCAGGGCCCAAGACTGTTCAACAGCCTCCCATCAAGCATTAGGGGAATTGCCAATAAACCCCTGGCTGCCTTCAAGAGAGAGCTGGACAGATACCTAATGTGGAAAATACTGTATATATTTTCCAGAAATTCAGTATTTATATGTAAATAGATGACCATACTGAATTTAATAATATTTATGTCATAGAAAACGGAAAGCCTGCGTCTGCGCAGACGGGACTCGCCATCTTGGTATTGAATTGAACAGAACGTTAGAGTGAATGGGAAGAATTTTTCGTGCTCTAGACGTCTAGAGGTTAAAATTGGGCTGACACCTCTCAAATAGGAGGCAAAATTGTTGGATGTGCATTCCTGCATAATTTGAGTATCAGGCGACTGGACAACACAGCTCCAGGAACCTCAGATAAGTCTGTTTATGTTTAATTCTGGCCAGTAATTTCATAAATTTAGACAGTGAGGTTTTCTGGGTATAATACACATTAATCTCCAGTCAAATTGGTGAGTGATATTAAGATATATTTTCCTTCTGTTATGTAATTGTGTATTTATATATACTCATTTTTTAATGTAATATACAGTCCATAAATTTATATATTTACCAGTATTCCTGGTGTATGTATATTTCATTTATAATTAATAGGTCCAGAGCAACTTGTGATATGACAGTGGTAGGTATCGAAGGGGGAATTTTTGCGACCTTTGGGTCCCAATTCTATTGTTATGTAACTCGATAAATAATAATTATCTTTGTTGTCATTTACTGTTACGTATATAATGAGTTACATTCAGATAAATGCAATTTTCCACAATTAATTTGCCCATTGGTCCTTCTTGAACCGGAGGTAATTAGTGAAGTCATTAATTGGTTAATTACTTTAATAATTATTGTGAAATGACAGAAGGAGGTGGATGTTAAAGTTCAAATTTATTAATGTGTAGGGGATTATAATAAATTACAATATTAATTTTGATAAGCTAAGCTCAAGTCTGGCTTTAAATTTATATTAATTTGTTTTAATATTAATTTGATAGGACAATTCTGGCCAAGATTTATATCAGTGTATGTGTAATTGATAAGGGCAAGTGTGGATAAAGATTATATTGTGTATAAAATTAATTTTGCTATGCAAATTCTGGCAAGGATTTATAAATTTGGGATAATATTAATTTGATAAGCCAATTTTGGCCAAGATTTATATTATTGTAAAGTATAATTGATAAGCCATGTGTAGCTAATTATTAATGTGTATATTAATTTTGCTATGCCAAATTCTGCAAGGATTTATTAATTGTTATAATATTAAATTTTTATGAGCCAAGTTTGTATTAATGTACATTTAAAATTTATATTATAATGTAATTGCTAAGTCAGGTAGCTGGGATTTATTCAAAGGTAATTTGTATATTTCCCTTTTTAAAAAGGGACATAATTTAGATTTAACAGTGTTATTAATTTGAATTTAATACTTTGATCATGGCTGAAAGAAAGGGAAAATTAATGTAGAAAACAAACATTGGAATATAGAGCAAAGAAAGCATTTTGAAAGCTAAAAAGGGGCATGAAACCCAAAGGGCATACAATAAATTTTTGGAAATTTAAATGAATCAAGAAACTGTAAATATTTGATGTTTTTAAAATTGTATTTAGATGCTTTAGGAAATTTGATATGATTAATAAAAATTTTATATTACAACAAATATGAAGGGTTTATTAGTAAACTGTGTAGTTGAGACTGAAGTAGATCTCAAAAATTTAATCAGTATTATAAATTTAGAGGAAAAAAATTTTTTCTTTTTAAAAGCCCAGGCCTTGAAAAAATTAAAAATTGTGGAAAAACAAGGCAGTTAATCGTCTGCTCCAAAAAAAATTTTTATGTCTTTTCCCAAAAAACCCCCACAACTATTTTTTACCTGTTTTAAAAATTGGGGGAAAATTGGGAGGTTTGGGGGTTTCAATTTTAAAGCGCTGTGATTTGACAGGAGTAAACCTTTACCCTGTGTAATTTAAATTTTTTTTACCTCAAAAGGACAGGTAAGAGGAGATGCTCACATACTCATTACAGCCCCCCCAAAAATTGAAAAAGACTTTTAAAAGGGAAAAGCAGTTGCCCTGTTAAAGGTCATTTATGGTAATATAGAAAAAAAGTAGGTTGGATCTAGTGAAAATCATTGTTAATTTAAAATCCCCAGACCCACACTTACAAAGGTTTACAGAAAGTTTAGATTTTTAAAACGGGGAGAGCACTCTAAAAAATTTTAAGTAAAAAATATAATCTGAAGGAAAACAATGGTTTTTGAGTCCCATGATACAGAAAAAAATTAAACTTTTTAAAACACTTGAAGGGTTTCCCCAAACCCAAATATCAAAGGGGTTTATTTTGGTTGGGGAAAAAAGGGATTTGGTTTTACAAAAATTTAAATTGTGCAATTGCGGACCAGCCAACTAATCTTTTTTAAAGATGCAAAAAACATTGAAAACCCTCTGAGGTATCTCCAATTTTTAAAAAGGGGAAAAAAAATTTATCCTAATTTTTAATAATAAAAAATTCATTTCCTAAAAGAAGTTACATAGGGGCTTATCAAGGAGCGGGAATCAAAATTAATGTTTTCTCCACAAGGTAAAAAGGAATAATTTCCCCCCCTAAGAGAAAGCCTTTTAATAAGAAAACCAGTCAAAAAAAAGGAGAGATTGTTCTTTTTGTAAGGGTACTCCATTTTTCTAATTTTTTTTAAAAATGCTTTACAATTCAGGGAAATGAAAAAGTTAAAAGGGACTGGGGGAAACTTGACAGTTTGTATCGGGTTTGTTTGGGTAACCAATGAAAAAGGTTGTCATGCAAAATTTTAAAACAATGTTATCGTGTCAAAAAGGAAGACACCAAAAAAAGTCATGTGAAAGGGGGGTTATATGCAAGGGTTGATAATAATGAAAAATGTTGGCAATCCTGACAAAAACAGAAAGCAAATTTGTAAAAATTGCTGCTAATGTTATAAATGATGGTTTTGTGAAGTACCCCTTAAACCCTGTTTTTTCAGGTAAAAATTGATGATAAAAAAGGGATAAATCAAAAAATTTTAACTGCATTATTAGACCAAGGTTCCCCGCGTACTTTCGTTAAACCCTAAAAAGTCTTGGGTGGTTTGAAAGTAAAGGGGAGATCCCCAACTTTAAAATTATTGGTTTTTTTCTCGGATTAAAAAAGGGGTCAATTTTTGACACTGTTTATGTAACTGTCAGGTTGGGCAATGAGAAAAAAAAAATTTTTTAATGGGAGTAATTGTAGATAGACTTTTAGAGGGAAAATTAAACTACGTAGGGCTTAGGGAAAGCTACCAAAGACTTTTCAAAAATGTAAAAATTTAAAAACCTTTGGGTGTAAGTGATGATTCTGTTGGCCCCAAAAAATATTTTGATTTGGTAGTGACATTATGCCTCCTTTGTAAAAGGGGATGGTTTAAAAAAGGGAAAAGTGGTGTCACCCTTTTGAAGGGCTGGGGGAGGCCAAAGTAATGTATGGGGAGGATTCCTCGTAATTAAAAAATTCATTAGGAAAAATACAAAAACCCTAACTGTGTCTTACTCATGAAGTCGTGGCCCCAGTATAAATTTTCCTTTGAGGATGGTGTTGGCCAGTGAAAAAATTGTGGGAATTAGCAGCATTGGAAAAAATGTTTTAATGAAGAAAGGGCCCGACGATTCTTTTAATCAGGAGCAATTTCCTGAGAGATGTTTAAAAATTTTAATTTTGGGGCAAAAAATGGGTACGACTTCCATGGAGACTGAAACCCCTCCGAATTGCCCACTTAAATTTCAGAATGGCATAAAGGCAATTTAAAAGGGTCAGGCCGCGAAAAAATGAGTAAAGAAACCAGAATTGTTAACTGCCCATAAAGATATAATTTGGTGAGGGGAAATTAAATTAAAAAATTTATAGAAGAGGTACCCCCCTGAGCAACCAAAATTTTTTGGTCACTATTTGCCCATCACGGAGTTTAAGAAGGGTTTTTAAGACCCCTCTTTGAGGATTGTGTTTAATTGTAGTGAAAAGGGGTAAAAAAATTTTACCTAGTTTAAATGACCCTTTGAGAAGGTCCGTCGTTGACGGAAAAATTAGGGATTCTTATTAAATTTAGAGTGAAGCATATGCCCTTTTCGGCTGACATAAGTAAAACTTTTTAAGAGTGGGTTTACAAGAGGGCTGGGCCCGGGGTTGTTTCCCGCTTCTTTTTGGGGCCCGGGGAAACCTAGTGAAAACCCCCTTGCCCCCTGAAAAAATTTTTTCGCTTTAGGGGAAAATTAAAATTTGGGGTACATCCCCGTCCGTTCCTAATTTAAAAAGGGCGTTAAAAGCACACCCTTAAACATATGGAAAGTCCATTGAGTAAAGTAATGAGCAAACAATTTTATGTGGACAATTTCCTGGGTGTGACGTCAACTGAAGAGGAACTGTTAATGACTTATGGAGAGGCTAATAAAATAATGCAAAGTGCAAATATGCCTCCGAGGGAATGGAATAGTAATGCGTCCAAATTAAAGGACAAAATAAGTAAAGATTACCCTGGAGATGAAGTGCCAAAATGTAATAATGTGTTGGGTTTAACTTGGGATACCGAGAGAGATTTGTTTAATGTTAAAACCTAATAATTACAGTATGCCCAATAAATTAACTAAGAGAGTTTTGCTTGTTGAAGTTTCCAAATGTTTTGGTCCACTAGGTTTAGTGTCATCCCTTACTATAAGAGGGAAATTATTAATTCAGGAAGCATGGAAACTTAAATGTGCTTGGGATGAAATTCTACCTGAGGAATTCATTAACAGGTGGGATGAATTAATTGGTGATTATGAAAAAATTCCAATGTTGGAGTTCCCACGCCAGGTGGCCAATCCAAATGGGAAAAATGTACTCCACATTTTTTGTGATGCTTCAAAATTGGCATATGGAGCAGTTGCTTACCTTCAATGTAATAGTGTTATTTCTCTTGTTATGTCTAAGGCCAAAGTGTCTCCAATTAAATCACATACAAGGGGGAAGCGCTAAACCCAGAGGATTATACAGCGCCTGGGGGGGATGTGGAAGGCATTCAGGCTTAATTCGGGGAACTGGAGCACAGATCCAATTCCCTAAATCAAGAGCCCCTCACCAACATCAAGGAACCTTCCTTGAGGGGGATCCAAGGGAAGATAAGTCCAATTACTTGGATCGAAAGCCCCTCAGCGGCACCAAGGCACCGTCCTTGAGGGGTGTTCTTGCTTTGATTTTGTAAAAAAAAAAAATTGAAAATTTTAGAAACAAAAGGCAATTTTTTTACATTATTATTACGTTCATGGTAGAGTGCTAAACCCATAAGTGTCATAAAGCGCCTTGGGAATAGGAGGCAACCAGATTTAATCCAAAGAGGAAAGCAGCTTCAGGTCATTGAATCAAGAGCCACATATAAAATATTCTTGCCCTCATAGTCGACGAATGAGACACTTGTGCAACATTTCGGTATCCTTACTGTGGATACGTTTCGCCAGTCAGTGGCTTCATCAGTCCAACAGAAAAACGGTGGAAGATGAGGAGTTTGAGGTAATCAGTCCCTCATTCTGATTACCTCAAAATGTCACGTTTATCAAAGCTTACTCATGTTAAGAGTTATAAGCCTCGATAACACTGAGGCTGAAGACCTGCACTTTCTTCTTGGTAATAATACTAATACTTATTTCTATAAGTATTTGATACAACTTAGATAGGTAGTATTATAATTATTATAATCATGGGGAGCGCTAAAACCGTAGATTATATAGCGCCTGGGGGGTGTAAGTCATTCAGACTCAATTCAGGGAACTGGAGCACAGATCCAATTCCCTAGATCAAGAGCCCCTCACCAGCATCAAGGAACCTCCCTTGAGGGGAGATAGGTAGTAGCATCATACCTGAAAACTTTGCAGATTGGTGCAATGCCAACATCAGAAGAGAGCTAATACATGCATGTAATTCTTATTTGTGTGCGATAACATATATTCATTTTATATCCCCGTCCAGGTCTTTTCCAGATGGTGACCCAGCCTTGGCTCCGTCTTGGGAGTGTCGTGAGACCTATGTCTCCCATGGAAAGAGGTACAAGGACCTCATCTTCGGGACCAACTGTCCCCAGGTTTAGCCCCATTCTCCGCCCTTACGGGGCTCGTAGGGAGAAACTAGGCCTCTGGTTTGCCATTTGCCCCGCCTCAGGGGAGCTCGTGGGAACAGCAGTCTTGTGAGCTGCAGGTGGTAGCAAGCTCTGGCACCTTCCCCGTCCTAAAAGGGCTCGTGGGCGTTGGGAGGGCAATGTAAATATTTATTTAATATATTCATTTCATATTTTTTACTATCAATAATTATAACTGATATATTCATGTAAGTTTATTTAGGTACAGGTACACATAGATACAATTATCATACATTAGTGTAAATTATTATAATCAAAATAAAGCGCTAAGCGACAAGGGTCATGCAGCGCACATGTAAATTACCTAGGATAAACCCCAAAAACGTCAACCTGACTTACTTCCATTGGGGTCCTTGTTCTTATTACAAAGGGGAAGCGCTAAACCCATAGGGGAGGATGTGGAAGATATTCAGGCTTAATTCAGGGAACTGGAGCACAGATCCAATTCCCTACATCAAGAGCCCTTCACCAACGTCAAGGAACCTTCCTTGAGGAGACTGTGGTCCTTGTGATCTTGTAATATCTAAGTTTGCGTCTTTGTTTACCATGGCCGTGATTGGTCAACCAGCAACACGATGCACTGACTGGCTCGAACTCTGTGATCCTGCTATATTAAAAAGTTATTTTCGCTATCTTCCAAGATAACAATTTCACCAAGGAATCGTTATTTATTATGTGATGTTCATAGCTGATATGCATTGTAAAATATAAAATGAAAATATAATGAGCTCCGCTGTTCCACGGCGGAGCTCAGACATTATAATCAATTTACACATTTGGCACTACATAAGACAACTGTAAAAAAATCCAAGCTTAACGGTGGCCCGTGGCCTGGTGGCAAAAGCTCTCCTTTCATACGATGAGCGGTCCGGGTTTGATTCCCGGCAAAGGTTGGAAACATTGGGCGTGTTTCCTCACACCTGTTGTCCATGTTCACCCATTAGTAATAATGAGTATCTTAGTGTTAGTCGACTGGTGTGGGTCGCATCCTGGGATAAAACTGACCTAATTTACCCGAAATGTTCTGCATAACAAGCGGCTTTCTATATAGTAGTATGTCATTGATGTCTGCTAGGCCTGTATACGTTGTACATGTACTTGTAGAAATAGAGATATTACAACTTGTACAATGAAACCGAATGGAAATAAGTCACTGACTTTTTTTGGTGGGTTATCCTAGGTAATTTACACTATGAATGATAATTGTACTTATGTGTACATGCGCCTGAATAAGCTTACGTACTTAACCTAAATAAAAAATAATTATCCTTCGCCTGCTAGTATATCTTCCCGTTTCTTTACTCTCAGAGCTGTATGAACATTAACCAGTGAAAACGAAGATTGGAAGCGTAACCTGCTCTGATTGGCCAGAGGATGGAAGATGTCATGGAGGGGCAAAGTAATGTAGCTCAAACCATAAACAAATGTGTTTGGGAGCGTCTGTGCCTGTGGTGGAATAACTGCAGTCATTGGCAGTTAGAAACCCTTACATAAACTGCATGTACCCAGATGGAGGAATTATTTGTTAATAATAGCTAAGTCAGACTAGCAGGAGTAACTCGCCACACCACGCTAAGGCTGGTGCAGGCATCACCAGGAACCACTGACAGCCACACTCCACACATATCACACAAGGCAGGTATGTATGTAAGTTTATTTAGGCACAGGCACATGTAAGTACAAATATCATACGTAGTGTAAATTACCTAGGATAACCCAAAAAAGTAAAAATGACTTATTTCCATTGGGGTGCTTGTATTTCCATTGGCAGTGTCAGTTTTATTTTTTGGAAGAGGATTAAAGAACCCAATATCAATCAACCAGACAGTGGCTTTCTTGGGTTATCCTGGTGTTATTAACCCTCTGAGTTATATTATGCATAACCGGGGACTCTCTGTAAAGTATGTCAGTCAATTTTAAAACCAATCGGTTGTAAACCATAATTTGTAGAAATAGTTTATCATTTATCAAGATTCAATATTTTATGTTTACATTATGCATGCACTTATACATGCCTAGCAGTTATAATTAAAAGTTCTGGGTTTGATCCCCAGGAAGAGCCACAAGATATATGGGCAAGCCTCCTTTTCCTCGATGCCCCTGTTCATCAGGTAGTAAATAAATACCCAGGAGTTAATCAGCTGTTGTGGGTCACAGAAAAATATTTTTTTTTGTTTTAGGTACCATTACACAAAGGTATTTAAACAAATATTGGGTGATGACAGTTGCTTTACTTGGTAACATATAGGATAACCCCCCCCCCTCAAAAAAGACAAGTGATATATTTCCAATGGGCCAATGTAATATCTTACTATTAGCAGCCTAACTATTACATACAGTAAAAATCAGCAGGCATGCACACAAATGTTTTTGAAAGATTCACTATCTTAATAGTAAATGTTTGTAAAGTCTCATTTTCTTTGAAAATTGGTACTATACACATGTTTGACTATTAATTTTTACATTGAGGTCCATGATATCTTCAACAGTTACTGCCAAGCTGAATGCAGTAAGGTGTGTCAGGGCAAGAATTGCTTAACCTCTCGTACTGTAAATAACTTACCTCATACTGGTAAGTATTGCCACTTCATTATTATCATGCCAAAAGAATTTGACTTAATGAGAGATTTGTACCAGTCCAGTTGGCATATTACCATTGAAATGCTTTTGAATTACAGTAGCTTAATTATTTTGTAATAATTTATTTGCTGGTACTGTATTCGAGAAGCTGCATAAAAGTCATGTTAATACAGGTGATACAGTAAAGGTATTTTAAAGATATAAATTGTTAATCAAAATCTTATGCAGTATATGATTATATTTATATAGTGTTTGCACACAAGCTTTCAATTTTTTTTAGGTACAATGTTATGCTATAACCAGCTAATGCACTACCATTTTATATTTGAAGATGTGGCAGCAGAAGTAATGGAAGGGGCACCATCCCACAACAGCACAGGTCAAGGTGTTACATATGGGTGTCAGACACAGGAAATTGCATCTTCAGTTAATATGGAGTTAGAAGATGCTGAAAGAGACTCCACAAATGCTAGCAACAAAGATATGAGTGTCAGAAGTACTACTGTAAATAATCAGCTGGACAAATTTGGGAATAGAAACTCCACTGAAGATAGCTATATAATAGACAAAAGTGCCAAAACACAGGTAGATTATATGAATACTATTGTGGATGTTGCAGAAAATACAAAGCACCTTAATTTGTATAGTAGTGAAAATCTGGATTCAAAGTATCGCAATATTAAAGGTAATACGTCATTAGATTCTACATTTGTTAATGTTCAGACATCTGATGTGTCTGAGATTGCAAGAGAAAAGTCAGGGAAAACACCTTATATGAGCATCACTTGGACCAATGAACCAGAAAAAGCAGATAATAAAGGTACTTCCTGTTCAGAAATATCGCTGTGTACAAAAAACAGAACTGCACAACTTGAAAAATCAGAAAATATAGCAAGCACCAGTAATATACAAGCTGAAATATCTGAAGGGGTGTCAGATGTAGGCATAACACGTATCACAGAGTTAAGAAGTATAGATGATGTCAGCATTAAGATTTCTGAAAATTCACAGGACAAAAATATCAGTACTAAGATTTCCAAAGAGTCACAAGACACACAGGACAAAACTAGCATTAAGATTTCTGAAGAGGCACAACACAAAGAAAACACTGTTCTACAAACTGTCCTGGAAAGTGAAAAACAAAGTAGTGATCAGATGGAAACTACTGCAAATGATGATTATGAATCAGATGAACCAAGTGAAGATGTACACACCACCAAGCTAGGAAAAATTTGTAGAATATGTGGCAAAATGACAGTAAAGTATGATGGGCCTAAAAAAGGTGTCCCAAAACATGAGGTTATTAAACATGTAAAAAAAGTTTGGAATGTCGATATTTCAGATGAAAATAATGATATATACCCTGTCAATGTGTGTGTTAGTTGCGAAAGAAAAATAAAGCGATTGTACTCCAAAATTTGTAAAAGAAAAAAATGTGAAATGTTTAGACAAAAGCCAGCTGAATTTGTTGAACACACTGAGAATGATTGTGCTGTATGTTTATTGAGAGAGAGAACTCCTTCTCCTCCTTGTTTACCTTCATGTGAATTATCCCAGCAAGAAACTGTTTCAGTAAATGAAGTTGATAAATGCCTGGGTAGTGATATGGAGGTCAGAGGTAACTCCATATGTCAAACATTATTAGAATCTAGGAGAAATTCGACTCGTAAAAGAAGTTGGGAAGGCCATGGGGTATCTTTGAAATCCATTGGGTGTCAGACAGAACTGAATGTTGGATCAGAGAGTATGACTGGTTTAGAAGAACATGATTATACTCAGGATGAAACACTGAGCCAATTCCTTGTCTTACCCAAAAAATTAGGTGGCAGAACACCCTATCAAAAGCAGTCACTTAGCTCTGTTAATGCCAAGTACATCAGACAAGATCGCCTTAAGCCTTTGATTGCTCATATCGACAAATTTTGCCAGTTGCACAAGGAAGATAAAATTGATGCAATGTTTTTCTTGTTGATGCAGACACTGCGAGATGCTGGTGACCGAGCTAGAGAGAATCTTGTATTGGACATATGGTGTAAGAAGAACAATGTTGGCATGTCGCTTACAGAAGAAGAGTGTCTTGCTAAGCGAATCTTACTCAAGCAGACCAAAGACCAGTATAGAAAAGAATATAGCTATTATAAAGAAAAATTAGAAAAGTCTGTATTAAAGCCTCCATTTATTATTGATAGACTGGAAAAGACTTACTTCCCAGAGCACCTTGAGTATTTTGTAACCGATGGAGAATTAGGACCTGTAATATATCAGCATGAAAAAAGCACACATCCTTCATACTTCACTATTACAGACTGTCAAGATGGTAATAGCAAAGGAGACAGTGCACGTGCTGGTGTTATGGGTGTTCGATGGCGATACTTTGATGCTGTTGCTAAGACATTGGAAGAATTGTCACATTCTGTTGAAAATGAAATCCAAGACCTTGATGATGATGCTTGTATAAAAGTTGACATGTTTGATTACTGTGAAGAAAAGAGAGACTTGACAAATTTTACTGATAAAAATGACTCCTCAGGAAATGGCCGAGGGATTCAAAGTAAAATGATAACTTATTTTTTTGGTATTCAGTCTATGGTGGTCCTGACAGAAAATACAGTCACTTTATTATATAAATCTGATCCAAATACAGTGCAGTTCCGACCTCTTATGAAAGCACTCGTAGCAGAAGGTGGTGCATTACATCCTGCTGTTATGGCAATTGATGAAGAAAGGGCTGCAATGACTGATAAAATCTTCCATATTACACTGCCGAGTGGTATGCCCCTTCGTTTTATGGTTTTCTTTACCAATTCGTCACTTGAAATAAGGAAAGATTACAGGTAGGTAAACACACGTATGTAATTGGTTAATATATGTAGCTAGCTATAACTAAATACAGTGGACCCCTGCCTTACGATCAGCTCCCAACTCGAACAATTATGTAAGTGTATTTTTGTAAGTGCTTTTGTACGTGTATTTTTGGGGGTCTGAAACGGACTAATCTAATTTACAATATTCCTTATGGGAACAAATTCGTTCGGTAACGGCACCCGAACAGACTTCTGGAATGAATTAATATCGTAAGTCGGGGGTCCACTGTATATGTAAGAGTTGCAGATAATTTTTAATGTTTTTTTTAAGGGACACAGTATGAGTGTACACAATATGTTTACTCTAATAACCTTGTTCTTGAAGATTGGACTACAGCTTGTGTACCTTGCCTCTTAACCACAAGTATTGATCATTTAGTGTGATGACTCTCCAGTTGGTTGGATTGTGTTTGCAATACTGTATATGCATTTGCAATAGTGTAAATGTACTGTACAATATGTGACATCACCATGGATGTTTAATTGGGGGTATGGCTAGGATTTTTAAGAGAAATGAATGCTGGAGTGTTGCAAGCTTAAAAGAAAATTAAACTAATATGAAGTGGCAATTGTCACAGTCGGTTTTTGCTAATGACACAGAGCTTTTAGGAGATTCAGAATGGAAGTTGCAAGGGATGGTGGAGGAGTTTGGGTGTATAAAAGGAAGAAGTTAAAAGTGTACACTGAGAGGAGCATAACATTGAAAGCAATTAAAGATTGGATATACAATTGAACCTTGGTTTTCGTTTGCCCTGGTTTTCATCGAATTTGGTTTTCAACGACTTTTTTCGTCAAAATATTGTCCCAGTTTTCATTAGTCCACCGTACTGAATATGTCCGCACGCCCACACAAAGCACCCCATGCATTCATTCTGAGTCAGTCTGGCTTTGTTTCTCGTCGAGTGAACATTACGCTGCACGTTCATACGAAACATTTCGTATGAACGTGAAGGGTAATGATCACTTGAGTGCGACTGCTAAATAAGCCACCGTGTGACCAAAGAAAGTTCTGAGTGCCAGCCCTTTGATAAAGAAGGTGAGAAACACGATAGAATTCAAGAAAGAACTTGTAGAAAAGTACGAAAGTGGCAGGAAGTCCTCATCAGTGATCAATTCCATCCTGGCGAAGAAAAAAGAAATCAAGGAATCTGATGTTGAGAAAGGGGTAAGTGTGCTAATAAAACAGAGATCGCGAACAATCGATGTTGAGACGTTGTTGGTGTGGATCAACGAAAAACAGTTAGTGGGAGATAGTATTGTGGAGGCGATAATTTGCGAAAAGGCAGGGCAGTTGCATGTGGATCTTGTAAAGAATGTGCCTTCTTCAGCGATTAAGAACATTTGTGCAAAGTAGACTGAGGTGCAAAGTTTTTTGGAGAAATATCACAGTAACAAAGCTGTTGCAAGCCATGTCTGCAACATGTTCAACGACAATGCCGTATCCCATGTTAAGCAAATTTTAAAGAGATGCCAGAAACAGACCTCTCTGGACAGATTTTTTGTGTGACGGGTACAGTGACTCGAGCTGGTCCTAGTGCCAGTAAAAGACAAAGAAGTGAAGTAACCCCGGGTAGGGAGTTGATACCTGAAGTCCTTATGGAAGAGGATTTCCCTTCCAAATAATAAACTCTCCTCTGCTCTCCCCCTTCCTCACCATCTTCCATATACCAACAAAAGTCTTCAATAAAGGTAAAACTGATTTAAATGTTCATTTATCCATTAAAATTAATGCTTTATATTTATTTATCTGTTTTCTGTATGTAAAACTATAGTTATTCTCTATAAAATGTATTTTTTGTTAAGATTTTTGGGTGTCTGGAACAGATTAATTGGGTTTACTGTACATTATTTCTTATGGAAAATGTTGCTTTAGTTTTTGTTGAATTTGGTTTTCGTCAGACTCTCTGGAATGAATTAAAAATGAAAACTGAGGTTCCACTGTATTGAAATAGTATGGAGGAAGTAAATCTATTAAGATATTCTGGAGTGGATGCATTTGCAGATGGGTCTTTAAAAGATGACATGAATCAAAGAATAGATGAGGGAAAGGAAGCAAGGATTATGTTGAAAGTCTGTCAATTGCATGGTGTGACATGGTCTTTGAATGTTACAACAAGGCGGCTGGCAGCAGCAGAGGTTATGCTTCAAATCATTGTGGTGTGAATATTATGCAGAAATCAAGTAGCGGGGCTATTAAAAGGTAGTGTGATATGAAGCATAGGCTTTTCAGATGCAGTAGTTTGGTTGTTTAAGAATATTGCATGTTTGCCTAATACTTAAGCAAACATACAATATTCTTCAATCATTGTTTGCTTTTATATAATCTTTTCAGGAATATAAGTGGGCTTACGCTCTCTTCTTTCAAAAAAGTTCCAGTAGTTATCAACCGATATGGAAGTATCTGCCTGGAACTTAAGAGGAGCTGGCTGGCTTCAAGCCCACGACTGGTTAATGTTAGTAGAGTCACAAACTCTCGTACAAAATGTAGCCGGTGTGGAGAGCAGGGCCACAATGTCCGGAAGTGAGCAACATTTTTCTAGTAGTCAACATCATTACATTTCTCACCTCATCATTTTTACAGACTGTAATCTTTGCACATGTTCACCTCCTTTCAAAATGCATTTTTTTGTTTACTGTACTGTATTTTCACAAATGCCATTTAATTTTTTATATTTTCACACCATTTTATCTCTCACAAGCTTCAGAAATTTTAATCAGTTTTCTTTCTTCATTGTCTTTAAACCCCTTTCTCTATATTTTATTCCCTCTCTTTTCACGTTGGGATTTTTTCCTCGGACTATGATCCTGTAGTTATCATTGCTGATACAGTGTCTGTCTAAATTCTTGTGTTAGCCTAGCCAGATTCATAAGTTACTGCTTACTCAGTTTAATTTGAGTCTTGGTTTTTGACTGTGATTTTCTTCTCAATTTTATCTTGCTTTATTACTCATATTTTTTCCCTTTAAAATTCTTAAGTGTATACTGTATTATTAACAAGCATAATTATGCAGACCCATACAAGTTTTAGAAAACATTCATATTTCTCGTTCCTAATACTCTGTATATAATAGTGATTATGATCTTCCCCATTTAAATATAGCAATAATACTACAGTGGAACCTCAAATATCGAACTTTCTTCGTTCCAGACGGCTGTTCGAGTGCCGCTGTCGAACGAATTTATTCCCATCAGGAATAATGTAAATTAGATTAGTTCATTTCAGACCCTCAAAAATACTTATAAAAGCACTTACAAAAATACACTTACGTAATTGGTCAAGTTGGGAGCAGTTCGATATTTGAGGTTCCACTGCATTACTCATTCTACTTTTGCTAGAAACAGATATATGAAATAGTGTATATACGTATGTATAATTTTTACTCAATATGTAATTGCTAACATACTATTGTTCTTTCCTCTCAGTACTGTACTGTAGTAACTGGTGAATATTACAGTTTAATATTAGTAAGATACATTTGTGTACTTTTAAGCAAATGTTTTTAGTATTGTAATGGGACTTTGTCTATGGATACAAAGATGGTTCAAAACTGAATTGAATAAAAAAAATATGAGAAGAAAAGTCTAACAATAATGAAAAGAATTAATTCAGGATTGCATTTTCTCTACTGATAACATTTAGTTGAACAATACATAACTTACAGTTTAGGTTAATGTTGAAGCTATTTGCACATTTCTTCATATACAAATTATTTCTTTTTATACTGTACAAGGATAATGTAGTTATGCAATAAAACATTGTTAAGCACAAGAGAAAGCCAGTAGAATGCAAATGCATAGGAGCTTCCCTCCTCTTGCTCATATTACACTGATCACTTTTCCCATTTCCAAGACGCTATCATTCCTATTGGTTTAATGTTTCTCCATGAATATATAATGATAATATTTCATGCTGCAGGTGTTCCTTGCCATCTGATAGTGCATCTGGAGACACTCGTGTTCAGCCTAAGAAACGTAAAAAACAACGAACAGCTCCATCACCTTCATATTCCACTGTTGGTCAGACCACTCAGGTGAGACTCGCTTCTTGTAGCAAGATCCTGATGATTTTGCTAATTTGGAATGAATGAAAAAGCAACCACACTTTATATTTGTTTTGTTAAATATGTATATAGAGTAAACCCTCAGTAATATAACAGACTAATAGTGGTGTCTTTTACTGGAATATTAAAAATAGCAATAAAACGCACTACTCTACTATACACCTAATATAGTATTGTGCACACTATTTACAGGTAGTAGGTTGATAGCAACCACCCAGGGAAGTACTACCGTCCTGCCAGATGACTGTGAAACAGAAACCTGTAACTGTTTTGCATGATGGTAGGATTGCTGGTTTCTTTTTCTGTCTCAAACATGCTAGATAACAGGGATATCTTGCTACTCCTACTTACACTTTGGTCACACTTCACAGACACACACATGCATATATATATACATACATCTAGGTTTTTCTCCTTTTTCTAAATAGCTCTTGTTCTTCTTTATTTCTTCTATTGTTCATGGGGAAGTGGAAAAGAATCTTTCCTCCGTAAGCCATGCGTGTCGTATGAGACGACTAAAATGCCAGGAGCAATGGGTAGTAACCCCTTCTCTGTAGACATTTACTAAAAAAGAGAAGAAGAAAAACTTTATAAAACTGGGATGCTTAAATGTGCGTGGATGTAGTGCGGATGACAAGAAAACAGATGATTGCTGATGTTATGAATGAAAAGAAGTTGGATGTCCTGGCCCTAAGCGAAACAAAGCTGAAGGGGGTAGGGGAGTTTCGGTGGGGGGAAATAAATGGGATTAAATCTGGAGTATCTGAGAGAGTTAGAGCAAAGGAAGGGGTAGCAGTAATGTTGAAGGATCAGTTATGGAAGGAGAAAGAGAATATGAATGTGTAAATTCAAGAATTATGTGGATTAAAGTAAAGGTGGATGGGGAAAAAGTGGGTCATAATAAGCGTGTATGCACCTGGAGAAGAGAGGAATGTAGAGGAGAGAGAGAGATTTTGGGAGATGTTAAGTGAATGTATAGGAGCCTTTGAACCAAGTGAGAGAGTAATTGTGGTAGGGGACCTGAATGCTAAAGTAGGAGAAATGTTTAGAGAGGGTGTGGTAGGTAAGTTTGGGGTGCCAGGTGTAAATGATAATGGGAGCCCTTTGATTGAACTTTGTATAGAAAGGGGTTTAGTTATAGATAATACATACTTTAAGAAAAAGAAGATAAATAAGTATACAAGATATGATGTAGGGCAAAATGACAGTAGTTTGTTGGATTATGTATTGGTAGATAAAAGACTGTTGAGTAGACCTCAGGATGTACATGTTTATAGAGGGTGTGGAAAATACTGTATATATTTTCCAGAAATTCAGTATTTATATGTAAATAGATGGCCATACTGTATTTAATAATATTTATGTCATAGAAAACGGAAAGCCTGTGTCTGCGCAGACGAGACTCACCATCTTGGTTTTGAATTTTGTACAAACGTTGGTGTAATGGGAAGAATTTTTCGTGCTCTAGAGGTTAAAATTGTGTTGACACCTCTCAAATAGGAGGCGAAATTGGTGGATGTGCATTCCTGCATAACTTGAGATATCAGATGACTAGACAAGACAGCTCCAGGAACCTCAGATAAGCTCTCTAGATTTGTGTGTAGTTCTGGTCAGCATTATTTTCATAGATTTAGTTAGAGTGAGGTTTTCTGAGTAGAGGGGCCACAGATATATCAGATCACTTTCTAGTTGTAGCTACACTGAGAGTAAAAGGTAGATGGGATACAAGGAGAATAGAAGCATCAGGGAAGAGAGAGGTGAAGGTTTATAAACTAAAAGAGGAGGCAATTAGGGTAAGATATAAACAGCTATTGGAGGATAGATGGGCTAATGAGAGCATAGGCAATGGAGTTGAAGAGGTATGGGGTAGGTTTAAAAATGTAGTGTTAGAGTGTTCAGCAGAAGTTTGTGGTTACAGGAAAGTGGGTGCGGGAGGGAAGAGGAGCGATTGGTGGAATGATGTAATTAGCATATGAGAAGTTTTTACAAAGTAGAAGTGATGCAAGGAGGGAAGAGTATATGGAGAAAAAGAGAGAGGTTAAGAGAGTGGTGAAGCAATGTAAAAAGAGAGCAAATGAGAGAGTGGGTGAGATGTAATCAACAAATTTTGTTGAAAATAAGAAAAAGTTTTGGAGTGAGATTAACAAGTTAAGGAAGCCTAGAGAACAAATGGATTTATCAGTTAAAAATAGGAGAGGAGAGTTTTTAAATGGAGAGTTAGAGGTATTGAGAAGATGGAGGGAATATTTTGAGGAATTGTTAAATGTTGATGAAGATAGGGAAGCTGTGATTTCGTGTATAGGGCAAGGAGGAATAACATCTTGTAGGAATGAGGAAGAGCCAGTTGTGAGTGTGGGCGAAGTTCGTGAGGCAGTAGGTAAAATGAAAGGGGGTAAGGCAGCCGGGATTGATGGGATAAAGATAGAAATGTTAAAAGCAGGTGGGGATATAGTTTTGGAGTGGTTGGTGCAATTATTTAATAAAAGTATGGAAGAGGGTAAGGTACCTAGGGATTGGCAGAGAGCATGCATAGTTCCTTTGTATAAAGGCAAAGGGGACAAAAGAGAGTGCAAAAATTATAGGGGGATAAGTCTGTTGAGTATACGTGGTAAAGTGTATGGTAGAGTTATTATTGAAAGAATTAAGAGTAAGACGGAGAATAGGATAGCAGATGAACAAGGAGGCTTTAGGAAAGGTAGGGGGTGTGTGGACCAGGTGTTTGCAGTGAAACATATAAGTGAACAGTACTTAGATAAGGCTAAGGAGGTCTTTGTGGCATTTATGGATTTGGAAAAGGCGTATGACAGGGTGGATAGGGGGGCAATGTGGCAGATGTTGCAGGTGTATGGTGTAGGAGGTAGGTTACTGAAAGCAGTGAAGAGTTTTTACAAGGATAGTGAGGCTCAAGTTAGAGTATGTAGGAAAGAGGGAAATTATTTCCCAGTAAAAGTAGGCCTTAGACAAGGATGTGTGATGTCACCGTGGTTGTTTAATATATTTATAGATGGGGTTGTAAGAGAAGTAAATGCGAGGGTCTTGGCAAGAGGCGTGGAGTTAAAAGATAAAGAATCACACATAAAGTGGGAGTTGTCACAGTTGCTCGTTGCTGATGACACTGTGCTCTTGGGAGATTCTGAAGAGAAGTTGCAGGGATTGGTGGATGAATTTGGTAGGGTGTGCAAAAGAAGAAAATTAAAAGTGAATACAGGAAAGAGTAAGGTTATGAGGATAACAAAAAGATTAGGTGATGAAAGATTGGATATCAGATTGGAGGGAGAGAGTATGGAGGAGGTGAATGTATTCAGATATTTGGGAGTGGACATGTCAGCGGATGGGTCTATGAAAGATGAGGTGAATCATAGAATTGATGAGGGGAAAAGGGTGAGTGGTGCACTTAGGAGTCTGTGGAGACCAAGAACTTTGTCCTTGGAGGCAAAGAGGGAAATGTATGAGAGTATAGTTTTACCAACGCTCTTATATGGGTGTGAAGCATGGGTGATGAATGTTGCAGCGAGGAGAAGGCTGGAGGCAGTGGAGATGTCATGTCTGAGGGCAATGTGTGGTGTGAATATAATGCAGACAATTCGTAGTTTGGAAGTTAGGAGGAGGTGCGGGATTACCAAAACTGTTGTCCAGAGGGCTGAGGAAGGGTTGTTGAGGTGGTTCGGACATGTAGAGAGAATGGAGCGAAACAGAGTGACTTCAAGAGTGTATCAGTCTGTAGTGGAAGGAAGGCGGGGTAGGGGTTGGCCTAGGAAAGGTTGGAGGAAGGGGGTAAAGGAAGTTTTGTGTGCGAGGGGCTTGGACTTCCAGCAGGCATGCGTGTGTGTGTTTGATAGGAGTGAATTATGACAAATGGTTTTTTAATACTTGACGTGCTGTTGGAGTGTGAGCAAAGTAACATTTATGAAGGGGTTCAGGGAATCCGGCAGGCCGGACTTGAGTCCTGGAGATGGGGAGTACAGTGCCTGCACTCTGAAGGAGGGGTGTTAATGTTGCAGTTTAAAAACTGTAGTGTAAAGCACCCTTCTGGCAAGGCAGTGATGGAGTGAATGATGGTGAAAGTTTTCCTTTTCGGGCCACCCTGCCTTGGTGGGAATCGGCCAGTGTGATAATAAAATATAAATATTTACAGATCTACTGCAATAAACATTGAACACAAGATAAATGTGCAATTTACCCAGTGGATTTTGCCCATAATTTTCAAAGTCTGTTACATTGGGAGTCCCTTATATAGAGGGCTTACTGTATATATTTTTTAACGTCAGCCACCTCACACCAAGGTATAAATATATGGCTGTGATGTCATTGTGTGTTTCTGGCAAGATAGCTACTGAATGAATGATGTTGAATGCTTTACCTCTTTTTGAGATAATCCTATCTCAGTGGGAGATGATCAGAGTGTTAAAAATATATAAATGTACGTATGTATATATATCTGTGGTATGTTACGTATGCAAGTAGGAGACTGTTACTAGTGTCATGGCTAAGGAACATGACAGTTAGCTTGAGTCACTGAATAGGTCACCAACACTGACATGTGCACGAGTTCAAACCCCTGGCTCCACACACAGGCAGTGACAGTCAGGATGTAGGCACTGAGCTAATAGGATATGTATATTATACACTGGCAGACATCATGACCTTCTACTTAATAAACTTCAATAGAGCAATTGTGTATGTGTCCAAACACCTTCATAATTTTTCCTCGAACCCCATCTACAATATGTAGTTGGTGGCAGCTGTGGCGAAATTATTATGAATTTCAGTGAACTTAAGCTTACAGTCACATTCCTGAGTCACTGACCTCTATACAAGTTTAAACCCCAGCTCCACATGCAGGCATAAATAGTCAAGATGTAGACATTAAGCTAATAGGATATACTGGCAGATGTCACGTTTCTCCAAACATCTCCATAACATTTACTCGAACCCCATCCACAGTGTATGTGCACACAGTTTTTGAACTGTAGTTTCGGTAAGACAGTGATAGAGCGAGTGATTTAAGTGTTTTTTCTTTTCCGGGTCATCCTGCCTTGGTGAGAAATGGCTGATGTGCTTGGGAAAAAATAAATATATATTTTTAAATAAAGTAAATGAATTTTTTTTTTTTCAGATTTTTTCAAAAGATTCAAAAATGCTTGATTTGGGCAATCATCACCAGCATCAGCATCATCACCAACATCCGAATCCCCAATCACAGCAAGAATCACAGGAAACACTTGCTCACCTTGCACCAGGAGCAACCAGCATTGATCAGAATTCAGGAATTATTCGTAGTGATGATCAAATCCTTTGGACTTGTCCTAGTTTAGGTAATACACCATCACATATTGGGACCAGCACACCTCAAGGTACTCAGGTGTTGATACCTACTCACATTCCCTCTTCCAATGCAGATTATCAGTCAGTATTACCTCAGAGGACTCATGCACAAATCTCGCAGCAACCTTCTGCGCCTTTGTATGTCTGGACATACACAGTTGTACAGCCACAACAAGGCCCATCACATCCTCAGCAACTCTCTCTTGTTCATCACCAGCCAGCACAAACAATATCTCAGCACACTCACCAGCAGCTGTCAATGGTTCATCAGCAGTCATCTCAACAAGAATCATCCCAACACCATCAGCAGTTGTCAGTGGTTCACCAGCAACCCACTCAGCAAGAAGCATCTCAACAGCATCAGCAGTTGTCAGTGGTCCATCAGCAACCACCTCAGCAAGAAGCATCCCAACAGCATCAGCAGTTGTCAGTGACTCATCAACAGCCAGCTCAGCCAGGCACACCTGAGCAACATCAGCAGCTGTCTGTTGTTCACCAACCATCAGGACATCAATCAACTCAGCAGTCTCAACATCTTTCTGTTATTCATCAACAGAGTCCTCAACAGCCACCACCACAACAGAGCCAGTTGTCTGTAGTGCATCCACAACAGATTCAGTGCCAGTCTCAACAACAATCAGCAACACCGCAAATTAATCTTATTGTACAGCAGGCAAGTCATCCACAAACAGTTCGGCAATCACAACTGTCTGTGGTCCATTCACAGTCAACATCCCAGCCCCAGTCACAGCAGCTATCAGTGGTCCATCAACAATCAACATCCCAGCCACATTCACAACAGCTGCCTGTGGTCCATTCACAATCAACATCCCATCCACAGTCACAGCAGCTATCTGTGGTCCATCAACAGTCAACATCCCAGTCACAATCACAACAGCTATCTGTAGTCCATTCGCAATCAACACCCCAACAACTATCCGTGGTCCATCAACAAACAACATCCCAGCAACTGACAGTGGTCCATCCACAAACAACATCTCAACCACAGTCTCAACAGCCGCTTTCTTTGGTGCATCAACAAGCTTCGCAATCAGCCAACTTAGTTCATCAACAGGGACCACAGTCACAGCCGCAGACAACCCAGTCAGAGCCATCCTCACCTCAACAAAGATTAATTCATCCCCAAACCTCAGAGTTACAACCAATTATAGGTGAGTGTTTCATTTTTGCTATAAACATGAATGCATATTTTTATCTACATTATATATGTACAGTGGTACCCCAAGTTTCTGCCATAATTCATTCCAGAAGGCCGTTCGAATGCCGTTACTAAACGAATTTGTTCCCAAAAGGAATAATGTAAATTAGATTAGTCCATTTCAGACTGCCAAAAATACACTTACAAAAGCACTTACAATAATGCACTTACATAATTGGTCAAGTTGGGAGCTGTACGAAACTCAGGGTACCACTGTATATATGTATACTATTCTCCTTTCAACAAACTGGCCGTATCCCACCAAGGCAGGGTGGCCCAGAAAGAAAAACGAAAGTTTCTCTTTAAATTAAGTAGACAGGAGAAGGGGTTACCAGCCTCTTGCTTCCGGCATTATAGTTGCCTCTTATGACATGCATGGCTTACAGAGGAAGAATTCTTTTCCACTTCCCCATGGACATAAGTGGTAATAAACAAAAATAAGAACTAGTAAGAAAATAGAAGAAAACCCAGAGGGGCACGTATATATATGCTTGTATATGCATGTGTAGTGTGACCCAAGTGTAAATAGAAGTAGCAAGGCATACCTGAAACCTTGCATGTTTATGAGACAGAAAAAGACACCAGCAATCCTACCATCATGTAAAACAGTGACAGGTTTCCATTTTAAACTCGCTTGGCAGGATGGTAGTACCTCTTTGGGTGGCTGGTATCTACTAACCTACTACCTAGGATATGCATGTACATATATAGGAGACAGGTGTGTATGTCACCATGGTTAACATATTTATAGATACAGTTGTAAAAGAAGTAAATGCTAGGGTATTGGGATTAAATTATGGGGAATCAAATACAAAATGGGAGTGGTCACAGTTACTTTTTGCTGATGATATTGTGCTTTTGGGAGATTCTAAAGAGAAGTTCAAAGGTTAGTGGACGAGTTTGGGAGGGTGTGTAAAGAAAGTTGAAAGTGAACATAGATAAGAGTAAGGTGATGAGGGTATCAAACGAGTTAGGTAAAGAAAAATTTTATATCACATTGGAGAGAGGGAATACGGAAGAAGTGAATGTGTTCAGATATTTGGGAGTAGATTTGTCAGCAGATGGGTTTACGAAGGACGAGGTTAACCATAGAACTGATGAAGGAAAAATAGTGAATGGTGCATTGAGGCAAAGAAGGGAATGTAACAGAGTATAGTAGTACCAACACTCTTATATGGGTGTGAAGCATGGGTTGTGAATGCTGCAGCGAGGAGGAGGCCGAGGCAATGGAGATGTTGTCTAAGGGCAATGTGTGTTGTAAATATTATGCACAGAATTCATAGTGTGGAAATTAGGAGGTATGAAGTTACAAAAAGTATTATTCAGAGGGTTGAAGAGGGGTTGAGGTGGTTTGGTCATTTAGAGAGGATGGAGCAGAATAGAATGACTTGTGGAGGGTGTATAAATCTGTAGCGGAGGGGAGGAGCGGTAGGGGTCATCCTAGGAAAGGATGGAGTGAGGGGGGTAAACTACCGTTAGAAAACATCTTAGCTGACGGTGGGGTGTGTCAGGGAGATAACTACATGATAACCACCTATTCTCTTTTGTCATACACACATGAAAAACAACCTAGACCTACTCTCGCTATCTGTGATTCCCCACAATTCACACTTACACTCACCCAATCGACTGTAAACATAGAAATACATAATAAAACTATTACCTAATGAATCTTAAACTAGTCATAAGTTTGCCCGAGATACTCCAATATAGGAGCTTTGATAGAAACTATGTATCGTACCAAGATAAAACTATTCACATTGCTAAATTTACGAATTGTAATGCAGTTACCTAGCCATAGTATCAACATGCTCCATAATCTATACCAATATAGAGTTTGAATTAATCTTAGTCTGCCCGAATGCCTAGTCTTGCTAGGTGTGATAGTGGCCCCCTCTGTAATTAGTATTTTATAATATGTAAACCACACATTGTAACCAATATCCTATAATATGTAAACCCTGCATTGTAATCTTTATAGAGAATAAACTTGGATTGATTGCAAGAGGTCTGGACATGCAGCAGGCATGTGTGAGCATGTTAGATTGGAGTGAATGGAGACTAATGGTTTTTGAGACCTGACGGAATGTGAGAAGGGTAATATTTTGTGAAGGGATTCAGGGAAACTGGTTAGCCGAACATGAGTCCTGGAGGTGGGAAGCACAATTCCTGTACTTTAAAGGAGGGGTTTGGGATACTGGCTGTTTGGAGTGACACCTAAACTGTCATATCTAGGCCCCTCTACTAAGATAGTGATTATATGTGAATGATGGTGAAAGCATTTCTTTTTTGGGTTACCCTGCCTCGGTGGGAGATGGCCAACATGTTGAAAAAAATACACATGTAAATAATTATACAAAAAAAACATGCATACAATAGAACCCCCATATCCACTGATTCCACTGTTTACTGTAGCCCAAAAAATACCCCTTCATTTTGCATAATAATGGCCCCAAAGCATAAATGTAGAGAAGCTTAGAAGCCATGAAGTGCTTCCCATCAGTGAAAAAGTGATAATTCTCATCTTACTGTGCATAATTTATCAATTAAACTTTATATAATTATAATCAAAAAGAAGTACTAAACTACAATAAACTTTTTAATAGGTATGTATATGACTTGTATACAGTGGACCCTTGGTTATTGTAATTAATCCATTCCAGAGTATGTGACTAAATCCGAATTTGACAATTTCTTAATTCATTTTCCCCATAAGAAATAATGTAAATCCAATTAATCCGTTCCAGACACCCAAAAGTATTAAAAAAAATATTTTTTTTTTACATGAAATATACATTTACCTACACAGAAAACAATGAGACGAAGAATAAAACAATAACAACATGATACTTACCTTTATTGAAGACTTGTAGTGTATTGAAGACAGGAGGAAGGGAGAAGATGGAGAAATTACTGTTTGGAAGGGGAATCCCCTTCCATAAAGACTTCAGGGGTGAATACTAGCACATGAACTTTTTTATTTTTCGTTCGATTTCTTTCATTTTTTTTGTACGTAAAGAAGCACCTTTCAATAGTAATGTGACCAAGTTTCAAAAAACAACTGAGAAAAAAATTTACTAATAATCATACATATTGAACAGTATTTTCGTAATGGGACTTGGAGAAGCTGTTTTGGCATTATCTATGCATAAAACAATGCTAAACTGTCTCAAGAAATCGTATGACCGCGGGTTCAATCCCGGCCGGGGGTATGGAATGCTAAACTGTATTTATAACAATTGCCAAAACTGTAATTTATCCTTTCTTCATTCTTAAAAAAAATAAAGTTTGTATGGTTTTGACATTCAGCCAAATATCTGAATTTTGCCCTCACAAAAATCATGATATCTCAAAAAGGCAACTGTTTGTTTGTAAAACAATCATTCCTTTATGTTCTCTGTGAATTTCATTGCATTCCTGCTATTATTAACGAAAATAACTTACAGCCGGACCACCGATTTTTTTTTTTTCGAGAAAACAGCATTTTTCTCAGCATTACGAGTGTATATCATAGTTACCCCATGTTCGTTTTCTTTAATATAAGGACCCTGGAAGCCCATTCCTGACGATGGGAGTCTTTTATTCCAGAGGGAACGCTCTGGGAATATGCCATATATTATTCATTCTGGAGTATTTACCATATTTCTTTGTTATTTATATTGTTTATTATGTCATATTAGATCAGTTGTGATAGATAAATAAGTCGTAGAAGCTATAATAGCGTTATACTGAAGCATATTCCCCGGCCACACAGAGACTGGAATTTTCCATGACGTCAACAAAATGGTGCCAGAAGGTTCCTGGTTGGCTGTAAGTCTACGTATAAGTCCCACCCACTGTATTATGATGCCAAATCGTCAATTATTATCTTAGAAAGAATAATACAATAAATACACGAGAAAAAAAACGGAAAAAAAAATGAAAATTGACGACAGGCGAGCACACCTGCCGCGGGTGGTGACGTCACCCTAGGTGTTTTAAATGACCATAATTCCTTGTAGGAATACCGTAGAACAATGATTCTGGTACCATTGTGTTGCCAGAGAGTTAAGCTATTTTTCTATAAGATTAATTAACTCAATTTATGAATTTTTCGACAAAATTTTTCATTCGCGCTGAGGTAGAGTGTACTTCCCCCTTCAGGTACCAAGTCCTTTTAAAGGGTTACCTCTCTTCTTTGGTTTTTAATGCCACTAGGACCAGCTTGAGTCACTGGACCCCTGTCACTCAAAAATGTGTTCCAGAAAGGTCTGTTTCTGGTGTATGTTAGGAATTGTGGTGGCGGCAGGATAGTGTGTTGGGAGACAGGACAAGGTAGTCCTTTAGTGTGACACTAATATCAACTCTACGGCTTATTTATCTAGCACAATTCATCTAATATGACATAATACACAATATTAATAACATAGAAACATGATATATACTCTAGAATAAATAAAATATGTCATATGTCTCTCTCCCTAACCAACGAGTGTTGTTGTTGGGTGTATAAGGGCCACTAAAAGATAAGCTTTACATAGTGGTGGTGATGGCGGCAGCAGAGATGGCGGTGTTGTCAGCTGCCCTATATAACTACAACAACATTGGGGGAGTCAGTTTCGTGCTGTCCTTTTTCTATTGATTAATTTGCTACACTTTATTGCAGAATCACTGAAGAAGGCACATTCTCCCCTCTCTCTCAGCCCTTTACCAAAGGGCTGGCTGGCACTAGGAGCTTTCTTGGGGCCCATGGTGGCTTATTTAGCAATTGCAAGCACTAAAAAGAATGGAATAATACGAAACGTATCGTATGAGCGCGTGGGATCGTGCTCACTGGCTGATAAACAGTGGCACACTGAGTGTTGGGCCGCTCTTGCCATGCGGACGCATTCGGGATGAATGACTATTACCGAGCTCAATGACGATCACCGAGCCAGTATTACGAAATCCGACGACTACGATATCTAGGGATTTGGGTATAGAGTTTGCTACTATCCTCAGATTCGGTATCCACGGCATATGGGGGTCCTACTGTACATACAGGAGTGCCCTGCTTTACTGTGCTCTGTTTTATGGAGATTTGCTAAAATGGACATTTCAGATTTTAATAAAAAATTTGTTTATATGGCTTCCTGATTTGCTATTATGGCATATGCATGCCACTGTTGGTTTACATCCTCCGTGAGCTTGTCTCTTGAGTATGTCTGGAAACTATCCAAAATTTCAACTGATCAGGAATTGGATTTTTCCTGCCCTTCCTCATATCAAATGTAAATATTGTATTCATCAACTCACTCTCTCATTTTGACCTTGTTAATGAGAATATTGTACACTTGTGAAATCCAGCTTCTAAACAGAAGGTAAAAGGAATCACTATCATCCCTGTTTATAACTTCCATTGGTAGTGCTGAGGTCATTATGTCACTCCACCTGATGCAAACTAGATCTAATAGTGTGTCAGGTGAATTTCTTGCAAGACATGGGTGGCCATCTGGCAAGGCCTCTGATGGCTGAAACACTGCTTTTTGGTAAGTTTAAGTACAACCTTCTTTTTAGTCAGCCACATGTTATTTTGCCATTTTTTGTTGTACTTTGTTCTTAAGAGTATTGTGTGCATTGTAGAGATTATAAGCCTTATTAAAAAATGTTAACTACAGTGTTCATGTTTTGTGTTCTGGTTAGTTTCTTTCCTAGTTAATGCAATGATTTTTTTTTTTTTTTTTTGTTTTCTGTGTTGGAGTTCCGGTAGCCCACTAGGAATATACCAAGTGCACTATCTTATGTTTACTCGCTTCTGAACGCTCCCATTAAGGGCCATCTCATGCATTTCTGTTCATTTTGCCTCGTTGTTTCCTACTCTCCAAGCTACAGGGAGGCCTGATTGTATTTCCTTGATATAATTTCTAGAAACTAAGCTTGCATTTTGAAAATTTTAACTGACAGCTACTTTTATTTACAGGTCAGTGGTAAAAAGAATCAAACATCTGCAATCAAGAGTATTCTGGCACAACACTATGTTATCACTGGTTTCGTATTATCATCATTCCGGGATACTTTTATAATTATACAAAGCTTTATGCTAGGGTGTATGCATTCAACCTGTTAGGTAACCTGAATTATAAGGTTAAAATGCAGTTTCCTGATAATGTATATTGCTCCAAATAATTTGTAAAGGTTTTATTCTCTAATGTTAATTAGATTGTTTGAATTATTATTTATTATTTGATATTTGTACTGTAGTGTGAGCAAAGTAACATTTATGAAGGGGTTCAGGGAAACCGGCAGGCCGGACTTGAGTCCTGGAGATCGGAAGTACAGTGCCTGCACTTTGAAGGAGGGGTGTTAATGTTGCAGTTTAAACTGTAGTGTAAAGCACCCTTCTGGCAAGACAGTGATGGAGTGAATGATGGTGAAAGTTTTTCTTTTTCGGGCCACCCTGCCTTGGTGGGAATCGGCCAGTGTGATAATAATAAAAAAAAATTTGTACTGTAATTGGAGACCATAACCATAAAGAAACAATTTAAGCAGCCTATGAGGCTGAAACTGTAAATAAATGGTCAGTGGAATTTCTTAGTGTAATGACTTTTTTTATTCATTCACTGGCATATAAAGGATGAGATATAAGCAAGAAAAAACTAAACCTCACTTCCATTTATACCCTTCCATGATCCATCCTCAAACCCAATTTATTTTGAGCCTTAGTTACACAAGTAACCCGCACATAGAAGAGAGGAGCATACGACGACATTTCGGTCTGACTTGGGCCATTTAGAATTGAGAATTTTTGTGTTGGTACATTTTGAGGTTAAAGTTGCTGCAAAAGTTGTGCATCTTGATAATGTCAGACAGAGGATTGAGCTTCTGCCTCTCCTTGTGTTGAATGAACCACATGGGTTTAAGTGCTTTATACAACAATTTATACTAATAGGATACCAAATTCCACCGGATAAGTTTTAGTCGATCTGGAACTCCATTGTCTGGGTACTTTCAGGGCATTCCAGTATCTTAGAAGCTGAATGAACTTTTTTTTTTTTTTTTTTTTTTTTTTGCTGAAGTATTTTATAATGCCTCATAACTTGCAGAAATTTGTATTGCTTACAGTTTATCTCAAATTGCAAGATTACTGTAGGGAGGAGGAAAGGGATGGGTAGACTGTAGCTAAAGAGAACAAATAGACTAGAGTGAGTGATTCAAAATAGGGGGAAAATGTGCGTATTCTTAGCACTGTTGAACTGTGACATTATACCATGTTCCAGTATTTTAAACAATCAGTGACTTGCTAGAAAGCTTTTCTTTGAAATCAAAGTGGTAGAATGAAAGTTATTGTCGTTATTTTATTACGATCTAAAATACAACCCAAAAATTAACTGAAAAAAACTTGACATACACCATAAGTCTTAAAAGAATGAGCAAAAAGGAAAATTTAATCTGCCACTTTAAGGCCACTAATTTAAAACTTACCTGCCATGGGCTCATACCCACCTGTTCTGTGATTTTTATGAGTATATTGTCATAATTTTTTTTATAAAAAATTAATTTTTCATGTTTTGTTTTATTGTAGAAGAAAACATTGCTATATGTACGTAACATTTACACAGTGCACAATTATAAAAATACATTTCAAGGATATGATACATATGTTACTGTAGTAATAAAAACTATGCTATGATTTATCAAAAATATGGATTGATTTGTGTTTTACCACAGTACAAGACATGGTAGTACAGTCTGGTCTCAGCTTATGACTGTTTCTGAAAATCATTAGTTACTCAGGTGTTTGAAACTCAGAACCTACTTTTCCGCAGACATCCGTTATAATAGGTAATGGATTTCCGAGTCATATTTTGTATTTAAATTCAACGAGCCCTTGTGGTTTAACGCTTCTTTTTGATTATAATAATAGTAATAATAAAAATAATTAAACTTAATGAAATATGTATATCCAGTGCTCAGAGGAGTCTCCCTCCTTCTTACTTCCATTCAACCATATCCTCTCCCATCATATCTGACAATATGACACAAGCAACAGGACTGCTTTCCTCCTTCCCTCCCTCTCATTTTATTTGACATACCACTTTTTTTTTAATATGATTACCATTTCACTGTTATAGTGAGGGTATGGGGCACCTGAGAATATAATATGGGAAACTAGTAGTTTGGGTTATTGAGGGCCAGAGTGCAGTGTGAGCTAAGTTGTCCTACCTTTCTCCTTGACACATACTGGATGATGCACTCGAGACACCACCAAACAGATTAGCATAATTATTTTTTTCTACAATCTTGACTGATCTCTACCACATAACAGCCTTCTACACATGCATAAAATGACTAAATAAAATAATTGCATTTTATGGAAAAAAGAGCTGTATAGCCCTTGTGGCTTAGCGCTTCTTTTTGATTATAATAATAATAATATAGAAAAAAGATAGAAAAAATATTACACTGAATTCATATCTTTACAAAATCACAATTATAAATTCTACACCTCAAGCACACTTGAGCCCTTCACACATGCAATAAATGCTGACAACACAATATATAAGTGCATTTTGTGAAAATTTTTAGAAAAAATATTGTAATACTAGATTCAACTGTAAAAAAAATTGTAATACTGTAGTAATATTTGAAGAGATATAGCTATCCCCAGCTGAATGACCATTTCCATGATGTAATTTTGAATAATGACCAAAAACAAACCACCCCCACTAGGACCAACTCACACCCTTAACTGAATTCCAGGCTGTGGCTTATCCTATCCTTGATTACTGACCTCTTCCTCATCCAACCCAATATTTATTTATCATCTCACAGGTTTCCATAGATAGGACTAAATCCACTCAATTTTGTATCAGCAGTTAACACGTTTTTTTTTTTTTTTTAATACTCCAGCCATCTTCCACTGAGGCAGACCCAACAAAGAAGAAAATTCTTTCACCGTCACTCATTCTATCACTGTCTTGCCCAAATGGCACTTACACCACAGCTCAGATGACACCCCAAACTGAAACATGCCCACCTCTCCTTCAGAGTGCACTAGCTGTACTTTCTACCTCCAGGACTCAAGTCTGGCTAACCAGTTATCATAAATCCCTTCATAAACTGTGAGGAAAATGGGACTAATATTTATACTGTAAATATAAATGGTTTATCACCATGGGAGAGAGAAAGAGAGAGGATTGGATTGTGTCTGTGTGAGAGGAGTGTTATATTACATGATTTCTCTCTCTCCAATGATGGGTCCATTGTTTAGTAGAGGCAAAGTGTAGTTTTTATTCCCCCCATCCCCATTTTATGAGTGCATAACACTTAAAGTTATGACAAAAACCTACATAAAATTATCTATATATTGGGAGAAGTATCACGTCCTGTTTTGTTACTGTGAGTTGAAGCATATGTGATGGCTTGCAAACTATTGTTTGGTTGAAAGGTTGCAATGACCCTTAGGCCATAGCAATTTTTCAAATGCCCATCACAACCTTTCTACCCAGTAGTAGTCAGCCTAGAAGCAGTCACAACCCTTCAATCCAACACTAACTAAAACACGATGTTATACATCTCTCAATATTTTGATAATACATAGTTTTTGTGTTATGCCCTTGTAAAATGGGGGCTATAATGCTACTATCCCTCTGCTAAACAATGAATCCATCTCTGGTGATGGGAAGGAGTTGTAGAAGGTATAGTATGTAACATGACACCACTTCTCTCTCACAGATTTGATCACACACTGAAATTTTTGTCCCTTTTGGTGTTACCCATTTTACGAGCTCATATCACCACTATACCTCTGGTGGGCACATATTTTATTAATTTCATGGCTGAAAAAATCAGGAATTACATACAGAATATTGTACCAGACCCCATCTCAAGTTATGGTTGTCTAGGAAAATCAGATTCACTTAATATATTTTTTGCTAAACCATTCCAATGGTCCCTATCTAGGTTATTACAGGAATAGAGGGATCCACTGCACTACTGTATTATGGATTTTTCAACAGTTGCTTCAATTTTTTTTTTTTTTTTTTTTTGTCTTTAGTTTCAGTAAGTTTTGGGGTTGGCACTCTTCTTGAATCGGTTCCAAGCCATTTTATTTTTCATAGAATTCCAGCACCTTCCATTAAACTTAAACTATTCATTACTATTTTATTTCCTGATATAAATACTTTTTAAGTATAAAGGCCAATATCATTCTGAAGCTAAGCATCACTGAGTGACTACTATAAGGCGTATTATCTGTATGGTTGATTTAATGGACTCGTGCTAAGGATGTCATCTTACACATTTTGACCACCTCAAAAAATGCTACCTCTACTTTTTGTAATTCCTTATCCCTCTATTACAAATTTTGTTTTATGACACCTTGAATTGGTTACTGGAAGAATGTACATAAAATTAATAAAAATTTTAAAGAGCATAAATATTAGAATTTAATGCATTTATGAAAATATAATAAATTTATTACCTTATTTGCTGTTGGAACATCCTGGTGTAACCAGTTTACAATATATTTTTCAACTTTGTCATGTGATTGTAAAGCGGTAGAGTACATTTCTTTTAAGCAATATAAATATAAGCTGTACATTGTGTGTTGACTGTCAGGAAAGATAAGGTTTTACTGTACAGTATTTGTAAACACTTGTTATGTAGGAATGACACTGATTTATAATATATTATTCAATACTTTTAGGGAGCAAGACTCAAAAACATCATGGTTATGAAAGCAATCTTTCACATTTTGCTTTATACAATATTACTGTACTTGTTACTATGATAGCAAACCCACAAGGAAAAAATGAAATAGAAGGTGGGGAGGGAAGGGGTTGTATATTTCAATATACAGTGGGCCCCCGGTTTACGATATTATTTCATTCCAGAAGTATGTTCAGGTGCCAGTACTGACCGAATTTGTTCCCATAAGGAATATTGTGAATTAGATTAGTCCATTTCAGACCCCCGAACATACACATACAAACGCACTTACATAAATACACTTACATAATTGGTCGCATTGGGAGCTGATCGTAAACCGGGGGTCCACTGTACTGTACAACTGAGGCTCTTTTCAGCAGACTGAAGGCACTATAACTGAGAATCTGTTAATTTCCCTATAAAATAATAATAATGATCCTTTGCTGAAGGTAGTCTCACTTGTTACTAAAAATACAGTAAAATCTTTAACAAATTTCAGATTTAATGAACAAAATCTGTGGGTGATCAACATACAGAAACAATGGATAAAGTCTGTTAAATCCAAATTGCCCATTATTTTTACAATCCACTAGGTAAACTGATTTCATATATAACAGATGATCTGTCAAATCAGAATTATCCTCTTATTACAGACAACTCTGGATCCAACAAAGTTCATTAAATCCAATACAATTTAATGGTCAACTGGCTTTAATGGGCACCCTCTTTCATCTATTAGTCTAGTAAATCAAGAGATTACTCATACAGCACTACTCTTAGCTTCTGTTTCATTGTCTCCATGTGGGTTCACTTGTACCTTTGACAACTGTTTATTATGCTTTTGCTTTCAGACAATATTACATGTCGGATAAAGCCAAGAAAGTTGGTGCGTGTTGACTCTTCAGGAATTAGAAATGTAAGCTAGGCTTTTTTTAATATATGTAAATTAGAATTAGAGCTTTAACATTTTATGCTTTCAAAGTATATAATTACCTTTAGCATCTAGATGTAAAGGAAACTTTACCATACAACTGAATGGGGAATAGAGAATACAGCATTCCCTTTTTTATGCTAGATATTTTTTAACTTTCAGCACAAATGTAAGAGTAAGTACAAATTTAAGAATGTTTAAGTTAATTCAATGTACTCTATGTAGTAAAAATATATATTTTTAGTACATCATTTGTTTTATATATAAACTCCCATATTTTTACAAATTCAGTGCACACCATAGTAGTTTACCTGTAGTCAATTCCTGGGGGTCACCCTCCCTGTTCCAGACCAATACAAATATGGCAAGACTGTTGACATGTGGACTGGCATGCACTTCAAGGTAAAAGGGGTGACAAAGTGTTCTTATCCCATCAATGAGCATATTGTCCAAGGGACTAAGATTTCCCTTTCTTTTCTTAGATTAAACCTAATTATTTCCCTAGAAACTTTGGCCTTTATGGGTTAAACACTTTTCCATGACTAATAAATGCTCATGAAATTCACTGATAATTTTTTCAGATCAGTGTCTTTGCCAGTTTACTAAAATATACATTTACAAAGCCAGGTTGTGAGGGTTGTGTAGGCCTGTTCCCTCGGGATTGAGCCTGTACCTTTCTTTGGATCAAACCTGATTGCCTACTATTTCCCAGAAGCTGTATAATACAAGTTTTGTGTTTCTCCCTAAATACAATATGTATGCCTGCAAGTCATTAGTAGAAAGTCTGCTTGATCAGGCAATCGGCAATGATTTCTGGCTTTAGGTCAAGCTTTGAGCACTAAAGACGTATTTGGATCATTAACCCAAGGTTAGTTTCCTACGTTAACTCAAGAAAGTCAGTATGACTTATTCCCATTAGGGTCCAATTTAGGTCCTTCCCCAGGAAAAAATGCCTTGAGACTGGTTAGGGGCTCTCGATCCAGAGAATAGGACAGTAAGTTGGTTTGAACCTGAATGCCTCCCATTGCCCAGGTGCTGTGACCCCCATACAGATTTAACACGTCTCCCTGAATAAAATAAAAGATCCCTTGGGAAGGGGCTCACATAAATTGACTACCTCTTCAGTACTGTATTTGTTGAATGCTTGGTAACCAGCAGCTTGTTAGGAGATTTGCCTATGTATCCTGCAGGTGCTTGTGGCTCAGATGGTAGCTTCCTTAGCTCACACATGGACTGAGAATCACTAGCATGAAATGTTGGGCATGATTCCTGCTGCCCATTTACCAAACGGTAAGTAGGTACCTGGTTGTTAGTCCAATGTTATGAGTCGCATATTGTGGAAGAAAATTCAAGGATCCCAAATGCAGTAAGACTGACAGTCCCAGATGACACAGGCTATTGGATTATTCTGGATCGCTAACCTCCAGGTTAAAAATTCAAAATCTTTTCTAACATGCAGGGTTTGACCTTGTTCAGCTCACAGTTGAGAAGTTGTGAGCCAAGCAAGCATGAATGGTCACCAGAATTCCAAGACTGGAAAACATCATTGGAAAAAAAAAAATTACTTTTGTGTTACTTTTTCTGCAAGATTTTATTAAAAACAGTTTATTGTATATATATCGTTGGTATGAGGAATACTGGTTTTTTCTATCAAATTTGTACTAATTATAGCTACTGTGCTATGAGAATGATTCCCTTCAAGGAGGATGAGGTCCTTTGATGTTGAAGGGCTCTTGATCCAAGGAATGAGATATACTCCTATTACGCGGATGAAATCTGATTACGTGTATTACCATTATATTCCCTTGCTATAACCAAAAATTCAGCATGATGATGATTACGATCACACTAAATTTAGTTGAAGTCCACATGCACACCTGCTCAGGTAAAGGTGTCACAGTTGCTAGAAACCCCTGTAATCATGAGCACACTCTTCATTTTGAATATCTAAATATAACTACAGCAACAATGGCAGTTGATTACTCAAGTTAATCATGTCAACATTTCTAGTAGGTGAGCGTGTACGCATTTGTGCATGTGTACTCGCCTTTGTTGTTTCAGGGGTCGATTAACAGCTCCTGACCCCACCTCTTCGCTGATCGCTACTAGGTCCACACTCACTGCTCCAAGAACCTTATTGTACCTCATCTTAAAGCTAAGCATGGATCCTGCCTCCACTATACTCTCCAGGTTGTCCATTTCCTATTAACTCTAAGGCTGAAGAAATACTTCTTAACATCCCTATGACTCATCTGAGTTAACTTCCAGTTGTGTCCCTGTGTTTCATCTCTCTAACAATCTGTCCCTTTTTACCCTATAATTTTTTTTTTTTATTAACACACTGGCCGATTCCCACCAAGGCAGGGTGGCCTGAAAAAGAAAAACTTTCACCATCATTCACTCCATCACTGTCTTGCCAGAAGGGTGCTTTACACTACAATTTTTAAACAGCAACATTAACACCCCTCCTTCAGAGTGCAGGCACTGTACTTCCCATCTCCAGGACTCAAGTCCGGCCTGCCGGTTTCCCTGAATCCCTTCATAAATGTTACTTTCATCACACTCCAACAGCACGTCAAGTATTAAAAACTATTTGTCTCCATTCCTATCAAACACGCTCACGCATGCCCGCTGGAAGTACAAGCCCCTCGCACACAAAACCTCCTTTACCCCCTCCCTCCAACCTTTCCTAGGCCGACCCCTACCCGCCTTCCTTCCACTACAGACTGATACACTCTTGAAGTCATTCTGTTTTGCTCCATTCTCTCTACATGTCCGAACTACCTCAGCAACCCTTCCTCAGCCCTCTGGACAACAGTTTTGGTAATCCCGCACCTCCTCCTAACTTCCAAACTACGAATTCTCTGCATTATATTCACACCACACATTGCCCTCAGACATGACATCTCCACTGCCTCCAGCCTTCTCCTCGCTGCAACATTCATCACCCATGCTTCACACCCACATAAGAGCGTTGGTAAAACTATACTCTCATACATTCCCCTCTTTGCCTCCAAGGACAAAGTTCTTTGTCTCCACAGATTCCTAAGTGCACTGCTCACCCTTTTCCCCTCATCAATTCTATGATTCACCTCATCTTTCACAGACCCATCCGCTGACACGTCCACTCCCAAATATCTGAATACATTCACCTCCTCCATACTCTCTCCCTCCAATCTGATATCCAATCTTTCATCACCTAATCTTTTTGTTATCCTCATAACCTTACTCTTTCCTGTATTCACTTTTAATTTTCTTCTTTTGCATACCCTACCAAATTCATCCACCAACCTCTGCAACTTCTCTTCAGAATCTCCCAAGAGCACAGTGTCATCAGCAAAAAGTAACTGTGACAACTCCCACTTTATGTGTGATTCTTTCTTTTAACTCTACGCCTCTTGCCAAGACCCTCGCACTTACTTCTCTCACAACCCCATCTATAAATATATTAAACAACCACGGTGACATCACACATCCTTGTCTAAGGCCTACTTTTACTGGGAAATAATCTCCCTCTTTCCTACATACTCTTAACTTGAGCCTCACTATCCTCGTAAAAACTCTTCACTGCTTTCAGTAACCTACCTCCTACACCATATACCTGCAACATCTGCCACATTGCCCACCTATCCACCCTTTCATACGCCTTTTCCAAATCCATAAATGCCACAAAAACCTCTTTAGCCTTATCTAAATACTGTTCACTTATATGTTTCACTGTAAACACTTGGTCCACACACCCCCTACCTTTCCTAAAGCCTCCTTGTTCATCTATCCTATTCTCCGTCTTATTCTTAATTCTTTCAATAATAACTCTACCATACACTTTACCAGGTATACTCAACAGACTTATCCCCCTATAATTTTTGCACTCTCTTTTGTCCCCTTTGCCTTTATACAAAGGAACTATGCTTGCTCTCTGCCAATCCCTTGGTACCTTACCCTCTTCCATACATTTATTAAATAATTGCACCAACCACTCCAAAACTATATCCCCACCTGCTTTTAACACATCTATCTTTATCCCATCAATCCCGGCTGCCTTACCCCCTTTCATTTTACCTACTGCTTCACGAACTTCCCCCACACTCACAACTGGCTCTTCCTCACTCCTACAAGATGTTATTCCTCCTTGCCCTATACACAAAATCACAGCTTCCCTATCTTCTTCAACATTTAACAATTCCTCAAAATATTCCCTCCATCTTCCCAATAGCTTTAACTCTCCATTTAATAACTCTCCTCTCCTATTTTTAACTGACAAATCCATTTGTTCTCTAGGCTTCCTTAACTTGTTAATCTCACTCCAAAACTTTTTCTTATTTTCAAAAAAATTTGTTGATAACATCTCACCCACTCTCTCATTTGCTCTCTTTTTACATTGCTTCACCACTCTCTTAACCTCTCTCTTTTTCTCCATATACTCTTCCATCCTTGCATCACTTCTACTTTGTAAAAACTTCTCAAATGCTAACTTTCTCTCCCTTACTACTCTCTTTACATCATCATTCCACCAATCGCTCCTCTTCCCTTCCCCACCCACTTTCCTGTAACCACAAACTTCTGCTGAACACTCTAACACTACATTTTTAAACCTACCCCATACCTCTTTGACCCCATTGCCTACGCTCTCATTAGCCCATCTATCCTCCAATAGCTGTTTATATCTTACCCTAACTGCCTCCTCTTTTAGTTTATAAACCTTCACCTCTCTCTTCTCTGATGCTTCTATTCTCCTTGTATCCCATCTACCTTTTACTCTCAGTGTATCTACAACTAAAAAGTGATCTGATATATCTGTGGCCCCTCTATAAACATGTACATCCTGAAGTCGACTCAACAGTCTTTTATCTACCAATACACAATCCAACAAACTACTGTCATTTCGCCCTACATCATATCTTGTATACTTATTTAATCTCATTTTCTTAAAATATGTATTACCTATAACTAAACCCCTTTCTATACAAAGTTCAATCAAAGGGCTCCCATTATCATTTACACCTGGCACCTAAACTTACCTACCACACCCTCTCTAAAAGTTTCTCCTACCTTAGCATTCATGTCCCCTACCACAATTACTCTCTCAATTGGTTCAAAGGCTCCTATACATTCACTTAACATCTCCCAAAACTCTCTCTCTCTCCTCTACATTCCTCTCTTCTCCAGGTGCATACACGCTTATTATGACCCACTTTTCGCATCCAACCTTTACTTTAATCCACATATTCCTTGAATTTACACATTCATATTCTCTTTTCTCCTTCCATAACTGATCCTTCAACATTACTGCTACCCCTTAGCTCTAACTCTCTCAGATACTCCAGATTTAATCCCATTTATTTCCCCCCACCGAAACTCCCCTACCCCCTTCAGCTCTGTTTTGCTTAGGGCCAGGACATCCAACTTCTTTTCATTCATAACATCAGCAATCATCTGTTTCTTGTCATCCACGCACATTCAAGCATCCCAGTTTTATAAAGTTTTTCTTCTTCTCTTTTTTAGTAAATGTCTACAGGAGAAGGGGTTACTAGCCCATCGCTCCCGGCATTTTAGTTGCCTCATATGACAAGCATGGCTTACGGAGGAAAGATTCTTTTCCACTTCCCCATGGACTATAGAAGAAATAAAGAAGAACAAGAGCTATTTAGAAAAAGGAGAAAACCTAGATGTATGTATATAATATATATATGCATGTGCGTGTCTGTGAAGTGTGACCAAAGTGTAAGTAGGAGTAGCAAGATATCCCTGTTATCTAGCATGTTTATGAGACAGAAAAAGACACCAGCAATCCTACTATCATGCAAAACAGTTACAGGTTTCTGTTTCACAGTCATCTGGCAGGACGGTAGTACTTCCCTGGGTGGTTGCTGTCTACCAACCTACTACCCATGAATACCCCTAAGTATTCTGCATGCTGTTATCATATTACCCAAAGTCCTTCTATCCTCCAGTGTCATGTGGTTGAGTTTCCCAATAACTTCTCATAGGACATACCAGTTAGCTCCAGGACTCTTCTTGTAATTATAATCAAAACTAAGCACTAAGCCATAAGGGTCATACAGCGCTCGTATTTTAAAGTTCTGTACTTTCCCAACTTCTTTGGACATGCTTGAACAGGTGTGGGTTCCATACTGATACTTTATACTCTTACATGGGCCTGACGTAAACTGTATACAATGTCGTGAAGGACTCCTTACTTAGATGCCAGATGTGCATTTACTGCAGCACTCATATGATTGATGTGCACCTCAGGTGATATGCTCGGTACAATACTCACCCCAAGGTCCTCAATAAATGAGATTTGCAGCTTTTGCCTTCCGAGCCTGTACTCCGTCTGCAGTCTTTGCCATTCCCCAAACTTCATGACTTTGCACTTGTTGGGATTAAACTTTAGTCACTTGTCAGACCAGACCTGCAGCCTGTGTGTGCATGTGCTCACCTATTTTTTGCTTGATAAATTAGACACATGTGCAACTCTTGGGTATCTTTGAGGAAACGTTTCGCTACACAGTGGCTTCATCAGTCAAAACAAAGGAGAAACGTGAAGAACAGGAGGAGAATGAGGTAATCAGTCCCTCAACCTTGAGTCAATGTGGTCAGTCCATCAATCTCGAATAGACTATAGCATATCTGCGGAGAAGTAGCTTATATACCGTAGGCAGGAGAGGTGCAGCAGTCGTAGGTGGTGTCACATTTGTCCAATGTGGAAGTAGGTCGTGCCCAAGGGTTAGGCAAGTGAAGAATTCCCAAGTATTAAGATCCCAAGAAGTTGCAGTGTCTGACAGGATTGTAGATGAATGGTTCAGAGAACCGACACGTTGATAAATTAGACACATGTGCATAATTTCTTTCCATTCTTCCAGGCAATGTGTAACCCCAATGGGTTTATCGCTTCCCCTTAAATATAATCACAACCTTGCATATGCTTGGGTTGTAGTAGTAACTGATTGGATCCATTTTGCAGTTTGTCCGGGTTTACTTGTTGCATTTCCTTGTCCTCGTTAGTTTTTATTTTCATTAATTTTACATCGTTTTCCAACGGGGACTACGTCTATCTCTTTTGGAATGTCCTTCACATATACCAGAATCAGTAGGGGTCCTAATACTAAACCTTGCGGAATCCCACGTGTTACACTATCATTCTGACACCTTTTCTTCTTGAATAGCGTACTCACCTAGTTGTGGTTGCAGGGGTCGAGTCACAGCTCCTGGCCCCACCTCTTCACTGGTCTCTACTGGGTCACTCTTCCTGCTCCATGAGCTTTATCACATCTCTTCTTAAAGCTATGTATGGATCCTGCCTCCAGTATATCGCTTCTCAAACTATTCCACTTCCTGACGACTCTGTGACTGAGGAAATACTTCCTAACATCCCTATGATTCATCTGAGTCTTCAACTTCCAACTGTGACCCCTTGTTGCTGTGTCCCATCTCTGGAACATTCTGTCTCTGTTCACCTTGTCGATTCTTCTCAATATTTTACTTACTAACCCCCTATCTCTCCTGTCTTCCAGTGTCGTCAGGTCGACTTCCCTTAACCTCAACTCGTAGGACATACCTCTTAGCTCCGGGACTAGTCTTGTTGCAAACCTTTGCACTTTCTTTAGTTTCTTTACGTGCTTGGCTAGGTGTGGGTTCCAAACTGGTGCTGCATACTCCAACATGGGCCTAACGCACACAGTGTACAGTGTGTGTGTGTGTGTGTGTGTACTCACCTATTTGTGGTTGCAGGGGTCGATTCTTAGCTCCTGGCCCCGCCTCTTTACCGGTTGCTACTGGGCCCTCTCTCTCCCCGCTCCATGAGCTTCATCATACCTCGTCTTAAAACTGTGTATGGTTCCTGCCTCCACTACATCACTTTCTAGGCTATTCCACTGCCTGACAACTCTATGACTGAAGAAATACTTCCTAATATCTCTCTGACTCATCTGTGTCTACAACTTCCAATTGTGACCTCTTGTTTCTGTATCCCCTCCCTGGAACATCCTATCTTTGTCCACCTTGTCTATTCCGTGCAGTATTTTATATGTCGTTATCATGTCTCCCCTGACCCTCCTGTCCTCTAGTGTCGTCAGGCCGATTTCCCTTAACCTTTCTTCATAAGACATTCCCCTTAGCTCTGGGACTAACTTTGTCGCAAACCTTTGCACTTTCTCTAGTTTCTTGACGTGCTTTATCAAGTGCGGGTTCTAAATAGGTGCTGCATACTCCAGTATGGGTCTAACGTACATGGTGTACAGTGTCTTGAACGATTCCTTACTAAGGTATCGGAACGCTGTTCTCAGGTTTGCCAGGCGCCCATATGCTGCAGCAGTTATCTGGTTGATGTGTGCTTCCGGAGACATGCTCGGTGTTATACTCACCCCAAGATCTTTCTCCTTGAGCGAGGTTTGTAGTCTTTGGCCACCCAGCCTATGCTCTGTCTGCGGTCTTCTGTGCCCTTCCCCTATCTTCATGACTTTGCATTTGGCGGGATTAAATTCGAGAAGCCAGTTGCTGGACCAGGTGTCCAGTCTGTCCAGGTCTCTTTGAAGTCCTGCCCGGTCCTCATCTGATTTAATTCTCCTCATTAACTTCACATCATCTGCGAACAGGGACACTTCTGAGTCTAACCCTTCCATCATGTCATTCACATATACCAAAAATAGCACTGGTCCTAGGACCAACCCCTGTGGGACCCCGCTCGTCACAGGTGCCCACTGTGATGCATCATTACGTACCATGGCTTGTTATTGCCTCCCTGTCAGGTATTCTCTGATCCATTGCAGTGCCCTTCCTGTTATATGCGCCTGATCCTCTAGCTTCTGCATTTATCTCTTGTGAGGAACTGTGTCAAAGGCCTTCTTGCAGCCCAAGAAGATGCAATCAACCCACCCCTCTCTCTCGTGTCTTACTTCTGTTACTTTATCATAAAACTCAGAAGGTTTGTGACACAGGATTTGCCTTCCATGAATCCGTGCTGGTTGGCGTTTATACTCTTGTTCCGTTCCAGGTGCTCCACCACTCTCCTCCTGATAATCTTCTCCATAACTTTGCATACTATACACGTCAGTGACACAGGTCTATAGTTTAGTGCCACTTTTCTGTCTCTTTTTTAAAAATGGGAACTACATTTGCTGTCTTCCATATCTCAGGTAGTTGCCCAGTTTCCAGGGACGTGTTGAAGATTGTAGTAAGTGGCACGCACAGCATGTCCGCTCCCTGTGTGTGTGTGTACTCACCTATTTGTACTCACCTATTTGTGGTTGCAGGGGTCGATTCACAGCTCCTGGCCCCGCCTCTTCGCTGATTGCTACTAGGTCCTCTCTCTCCCTGCCCCATGAGCTCTATCATACCTCGCCTTAAAACTATGTATGGTTCCCGCCTCCACTACGTCACTTTCTAGGCTATTCCACGGCCTGACTACTCTATGACTGAAGAAATACTTCCTAACATCCCTTTGATTCATCTGAGTCTTCAACTTCCAATTGTGACCTCTTGTGTCTGTGTCCCTTCTCTGGAACATCCCGTCTTTGTCCACCTTGTCCATTCCGCGCAGTATTTTATATGTCGTTATCATGTGTGTGTGTGTGTGTGTGTGTGTGTGTGTGTGTGTGTGTGTGTGTGTGTGTGTGTGTGTGTGTGTGTGTGTGTGTGTGAGTTTAGCAGGGCCAACGCTCCCCTAGTCATCTGTATTGCCTGTCAGTGCACATATGCAGGCGCTACGATGACCTGTCCATTCAGGCTTGGTGGCCCTGCTCTCCTACTGCTCACTCTTCTCACCCACTTCACTATTAACGCCGGGGAAGTGCACCAAGGCGAGACTAGAAAAAATAACATCAATAATGAGTACCCTATAGTTGAAATTTATCATGAAGTGAAGGAAACTTTAAGGAATATCTTCGCCAAAGGTGTAGACCCGGAAACGAGGAACAAGAACAAAAATTTGATGAGCCTGTGTGGAGGTTCTCGTCAGATGTATATGATCCTACACGCAAGAAGAGTCGCTTTCAGTCTTTCCTCGATTCTAGAAGACGCGATCTACTCATCTATGGAAACAAAGAGTTAACTGGGAGTACCGGAGACCAGGAAAACGTCCAGCAGGCTAACATTCGCCAGCACACCCACGCCCACGCAGGCCAAGAACACACCAATGCCTACCTGAACGAGTGGGTGGTTCACCTGACAGGAGGTCGCGAGCTAGCGGCAGCTGTGGCCAAGGACTTGGGTTATCGATTCCTGGGACAGGTGGGTGAATTATACGGCTTTCAGATTCTTAATGAAGGAAAAATGTTACTTTTTTAGGTTTATTAATATCACAGTCGTTAGCAGTTTTCAGTTTTGACTAGAATCTGTGTTCACTGCTGTAATTATATGTGACAATCCGTCCTGAAATATTTTCAGCTATCCTTCATGAGAAGAATTTTCACAATTAACAGGTACTGCTTCATGTATGTAATTAGTTGTTTATTTTGCTATCATTTGAGATGCTACTCATACTTCGTTACCTTGTTACGTGTGCTCTTGATTTAAATGTAACAGTGGTATGAATATTATATTATGAACAGAGACAGTAGATTCGATATCCTGTTAATTATAACCATGATAACCTGTCCAAGAGCAATGTAGGGCTCGAACCTGGGCCTGGGTCTTTGGTCTAGATGAGATTATGGAGAACATAACTAGGCAGCACACAATACCTTTTTTACACAACGTGTTATTCAGGTCTATCAACAAACACTACCATTACTACTCGATATAATATACTAAAATGACCACACTCCACTAATTATATTGTGGGGTTGGATTATTATTATAATCAAAAAGAAGCGCTGAGCCACAAGGGCTATACAGCACTGCTGTGGGGTTGGAACTCGGGCTTCCTGTGTAATTTTACAATTACCTATTTGAGTTTGAAGGAGGCGAGTCGAGCTCACGGTCCTTCCTCTTTCTACAGACTGACGTGACTAAGCCTCATCATATCTATTTGTATGGGATCAGCTTCCTCTCATTACTTAACTTATGCCACTTGTGTTGGGGTACAGACTGTTCTCAGGACATGAGAAGGACATGTGGTGTTTTACGTTAATAAGAAGACAGTACTGACTTTTACTAAATTATTCCATAATAAATGCTACCTATAACAAAAACGAGCTCAAGAGAGTTAGTTTAATATGTTTATTATGCACCCTATACTCATCCTGTGGGCAGTAGTTGAAAGATTACAGAGGTACATAATGGGTCCAGTGACTGGACTCCAAAGTTTTGATAGCTGAGCAAGTTACAGAGGTAATGAACTCACAATTACAAAGGTAATGAACTCACAATTTACAAAGGTAATGAACTCACAATTTACAAAGGTAATGAACTCCAGGTAGGTCTGGTCACAATCATGGCACGTTACAAATTTACAGATTACAGAGGTACGTAATGGGTCTAGGGACTGGGCCCCAAAGTTTTGATAGCTGAACTAGGTACAAAGGTAATGAACTCACAAGTTACAAAGGTAATTACTCCTGTAAGAATGGTTACTCAAGAGATCAACACTTCTCCTACTCATCATATACGTCGCCTCGATCACCTGTTACCTCCATAAATCTCATATCTTTTAAGCAACATTGTACTGAGCAGCAATCATCTATGAATTTACCACTCCAGTTGGTATATCTTTATCCCCGCATGGAAGATTATCCAAGGAATCTGAGTTACCTTTCTCAACCCTTCGAAGGTTCTTTCACGCTGCCGAGGGTTTCTTGATTTATTTTAAGGAAATGAATTCCTCGTCTCCTTCCCTGGTTCGATCCTGATTGCTTCCCATTTGCTATGCATTGTATGAACCTACAAGTTTAACGCTTCTCCAGTTTAATAATTAATAATAATAATAATAATAATAATAATAATAATAATAATAATATAATGGTATATTCATCCAACATTTCATCACAGTACCGAAATGTAATGCAGATATTTATATATAATTAGTTTTCTCTGCAGGTAGAGTGTAAGCATGACGTGAGTCTCACATGTGTAGACTCGCCTAACTATGTTTGCTACACACTAATACACATTTATCACACACATCTAAACCCAAGGTGATCGAACGGTTTAATTTTATCGCCCATTTCTATAGCTATCCACACTATCCTAATTTAATATACCGTACTTCAGTAACCTATGTCAATCGGCCTTCCGGATCCTTACCTGTCCCAAGCTCTTAAATCATTGCGATTTGTGTGAAGACACGACATATTACAATCAGACCCAATAAACCCACAAGGGTCATACAGCGCTACACACGAATTTATAAATCTCTAAACATATTGAAACACTGTCCCAGTTCATGTGCCAACTAATATCTAAAATATTTTAAAATACAGAGTTGCGTTATTTCGGACCTAGTTTCAGCTCTTGACATTACAAGTTCCTTGCCTCTTGGGTCATGTATGTCATCTTCAAACTGTAGGAAGTTTGCCTCCACCACTTCCTCATCTCAGTAATTTTACATTTTTTTCCCATCCCAAGACTGAAGAAACAATTTCCAAATATCCCTGGGGCTCATTTTTTTTTAAGCTATCCCCTCGCCTCTCTGCCTCGTTTTTCAATATGTCCCTATCCGCCTTGTCAAAATTTCAGAGCATCATGCATGTCGTATTCATGTCTACCTTTGTCCTCTCTTCTCTTCTAAGGCACGTGTAGGTGTAAGTGTGTTTGTGTGTATGTGTGTGTGTGTGTGTGTGTGTGTGTGTGTGTGTGTGTGTGTGTGTGTGTGTGTGTGTGTGTGTGTGTGTGTGTGTGTGTGTGTGTGTGTGTAAGACCTTGTGTATAATTGCCCTCAGGTGTTCAGTGCTCCCTCCCTCCCTCCACGCAACCCTCCCTGCCTCTTTTGAAACTAACTCAGCTGAGCAAATTAAATCATTTAAAGAATATCAACCATACCAAAGAAATAAATATTTTGCTTTATCAGTTCGAGAAACCTTGATATATTAACGTACGTTTTCGGGGTGACCGTTGAGTGTTTGTGCACCTCTCAAGGTACTTAATTAACCGAGCCAGGAATGATCCATGTTGCTGATAACTCTTCTTCAGTGGGATTGGCGCCGGGTCACCATCTGAAAACACCCGGGCCGGGATAGAACCGGCGAACCTAGAAATAATAAGTGGGAGAGAGAGAGAGAGAGAGAGAGAGAGAGAGAGAGAGAGAGAGAGAGAGAGAGAGAGAGAGAGAGAGAGAGAGAGAGAGAGAGAGAGAGAGAGAGAGAGAGAGAGCATGAACTCTCACAGCCTATATGCAAATAAAAGTAAATAGTGTAATAAATGTCTCGTGTAAATGGAAACGAAAAGCCTCAAGTTTCGGAGACGGTTTATTCAGTTTTCGTTAAAACAGATTTGGAAAATTTAATAAATAGTATACAACCAATTATAAAATTAGACACAAAAGAGTATTATATAAAGTTCACTCAAATACACAAATATGAAATATTACGTAACTGAATCAAACAATGAAAAAAGTAAAAAATAGTCGAAAATAAATCAAGGCAAGTATAGAGTATTCAGAGATATGATAAAATTATCACCTTCCTTCAAAGAGGTGGACCGAGTAAGCCAGTGGAAGGCCTCGGTCAGATGACCAAAAGCTCCAGCGGCGAGTCAGCATCTAAGACCCGCGTCAGGAAACACTTGCCCTGTTTCATTATGAAACTTACCTAACTTAACATATGGAACAGCCCGTGGTACTGTAGTCTGGGTCTAATCTACTATGGTCTATTGTGGCTTAAATGGAATCGCCGGGTAGACAGCAAAACAGTCGGTCACCTCAAATTGAAAGCTAATACACAAATTATCGTGGTAGAATAGCCTTGAATCCTAATAAGATGTGTACGTCAACACACTTCGCAGCCTAGTATAATACAGGCGCAAATCTGAGTGAACCGTAAGTGTGAACCAGCTGAACGAAGTCTCAGACACAACGAGGTGACGAGCAGAGAAACACGCATCCCCAGAACGGCAGTTACACATAAGTGGGCTGGTTTCCACAAAGGATATGAAATGATTGTCGATTCGTTCACTGACTTTTTGCCAGTCAATACAGCTCTTTCAATCTCTTGAAATTTCTCTGGCCTACTCAAAACACTCTGAGTAGGAAAGAAAAACAGCGTTTACCATCACAAGTGCTTCACTCTATAAGCTGAACATTTAAAGACGGGAGACAGAAAATAAAGTGTAACTTTAACAGCTAAGGTACCACAAACTCAAGACAGGTAACAGCTGCCAGATAAAATAAACACAATGAAAAGGGAATAAATACTCACAATCGTCTAAGAACCCGGTAGTCTTGTGCTGCACCAATTACCTACTACCCCAGAGTGTAGTGTGAAGAGTGGGTGGTAGGCAGCATTGTCATCTGCATTCCATGAAACAAGCACCTCGATACACAAACAACCCACGCACCCCATTCATACTCACATGCACACAAAATTATATACATCTGAGACCTGGTAGGAAAATCAGTAAAACGAGATGATGGAATATGTAGCAACAAAGTGCAAGGAGGCAGAGGAAAGGTTTGTTTACAAGGGAAACAGAAATAATAGGAAGAATAAGCGAGTCCTTGGTTTACCCGAAGGTGTAGGGAGGCAAAAACTAAGTGCACCAGAGACTGGAAAAGGTACAGGAGGCAAAGGACCCAGGAAAATAAGGAGATTAGTAGAAGAGCCAGAAACGAGTATGCACAGATAAGGAGAGAGGCCCAGCGACAGTACGAAAACGACATAGCATCGAAAATCAAGTTTGACCCGAAACTGCTGTATAGCCACATTAGGAGGAAGACAACAGTCAAAGACCAGGTGATAAGGCTGAGGAAAGAAAGTGGGGAACTCACAAGAAACGATCAAGAGGTATGTGAGGAGCTCAACATGAGATTTAAGGAAGTATTTACAGTGGAGACAGGAAGGCCTCTCGGGGGACAGACCAGATGGGGACACCAGCAAGGAATATACCAACAAGTGTTGGATGACATACATACAGATGAGGTGAAGAAACTGCTAAGGGACATCAATACCTCAAAGGCAATGGGACCGGACATCTCCCCGTGGGTCCTTAGAGAGGGAGCGGATATGTTGTGTGTGCCACTTACCACAATCTTCAACCTGTCCCTGGAAACTGGGCAACTACCTGAGGTATGGAAGACAGCAAATGTAGTTCCCATTTTTAAAAAAGGAGACAGAAAAGAGGCACTAAACTATAGACCTGTGTCACTGACGTGTATAGTATGCAAAGTTATGGAGATTATCAGGAGGAGAGTGGTGGAGCACCTGGAACGGAACAAGAGTATAAACGCCAACCAGCATGGATTCATGGAAGGAAAATCCTGTGTCACAAACCTTCTTGAGTTTTATGATAAAGTAACAGAAGTAAGACTCGAGAGAGAGGGGTGGGTTGATTGCATCTTCTTGGACTGCAAGAAGGCCTTTGACACAGTTCCTCACAAGAGATTAGTGCAGAAGCCAGAGGATCAGGCTCACATAACAGGAAGGGCACTGCAATGGATCAGAGAATACCTGACAGGGAGGCAACAACGAGTCATGGTACGTAATGATGTATCACAGTGGGCACCTGTGACGAGCGGGGTCCCACAGGGGTCGGTCCTAGGACCAGTGCTATTTTTGGTATATGTGAACGACATGATGGAAGGGTTAGACTCAGAAGTGTCCCTGTTCGCAGACCATGTGAAGTTAATGAGGAGAATTTAATCAGATGAGGACCGGGCAGGACTTCAAAGAGACCTGGACAGACTGGACACCTGGTCCAGCAACTGGCTTCTCGAATTTAATCCCGCCAAATGCAAAGTCATGAAGATAGGGGAAGGGCACAGTAGACCGCAGACAGAGTATAGGCTAGGTGGCCAAAGACTGCAAACCTCGCTCAAGGAGAAAGATCTTGGAGTGAGTATAACACCGAGCATGTCTCCGGAAGCACACATCAACCAGGTAACTGCTGCAGCATATGGGCGCCTGGCAAACCTGAGAACAGCGTTCCGATACCTTAATAAGGAATCGTTCAAGACACTGTACACCGTGTACGTCAGGCCCATACTGGAGTATGCAGCACCTGTTTGGAACCCGCACTTGATAAAGCACGTCAAGAAACTAGAGAAAGTGCAAAGGTTTGCGACAAGGTTAGTTCCAGAGCTAAGGGGAATGTCTTATGAAGAAAGGTTAAGGGAAATCGGCCTGACGACACTAGAGGACAGGAGGGTCAGGGGAGACATGATAACGACATATAAAATACTGCGCGGAATAGACATGGTGGACAAAGACAGGATGTTACAGGGAGGGGACACAGAAACAAGAGGTCATAATTGGAAGTTGAAGACATAGATGAGTCAGAAAGATATTAGGAAGTATTTCTTCAGTCACAGAGTTGTAAGGCAGTGGAATAGCCTAGAAAGTGATGTAGTGGAGGCAGGAACCATACATAGTTTTAAGACGAGGTTTGATAAAGCTCATGGAGCGGTGAAGAGGCGGGGCCAGGAGCTAAGACTCGACCCCTGCAACCACAAATATGTGAGTACATCCAAAAGAACATTTTCCCCCAACGCACCTCAGGTTCTACTGTCATTTCATAAAAAAAAAAATAGTTTATTTGCCGAGAGTCTATTAAATCAAATATGACTCATTTTCCACAGGCTTCTGTTGCTCCAAATATACCTAATATTTGTTTTAAACTGTTAATTGGTATCCCCTGAAACGGGATACCTAGAGTGGTTGTCGGATTTTGCTCTTCAATTTCAGAGCGATAACTTAAGAACGCCTCTTCTGATCGGCCTCAAACTTTCAACATTAGTTTATCTTACGTTAAATGAAGGCTTAGAATTGTTAGCGGGCTTCCCGGGTCTTAATTGACCAATTTTTATAACAAAATTGGAAGGGACCATACCTACGTTTCTGAAGTATTAATGAACTAGGATATCAGTACAAAACACAATACCTATTGTCTGGCCACACATCATACTTCCAATGGCACGAATTAACAATAATAACAAAAACAGAAATATCTCAAGCACTCTAATATTGCATATAGATACAAGAATTCAATTAATCAAATCCCTTAAAAATTTAAACGATTACTTTTTACGACATTTTAAATTGTCTATATGCTTTTTTTATCCCCCTTTCTATGTCCCTAGAAATAGGGTACGCATTATATTTATAAAAATGTATGAAAGCGTGTTCAATTTCAAAAAAAAAAAAAAAAAACTTTTCTAAATAATCTTCTAATAGCCTAAATTTTAAGACAAAACTAAACTGTTCTAAAAACTTTTTTGTTTTACCAGCCTTAACTTTCGTGGTTAAACAATCTGCTTCGAGTGTAAACTGCAGATTACATTTTGGTAGTACTAGAAACAATATGTGGTTTTTAACATCTTATCGATAAAACGTTTCGTCCCTGGTGGGCGAAACATCTCGATAAAATGCCATAAACCGTACACTGTGTCTTATTTACACGTAGATATATTCTATCAATGATATACATATGTTGTGTAGGTCGGGGAGTTCCGTGACGTATACCGCATGGTCAAACTGAACCACCCAGCCGCCCACAAGCGTGACTCGCCCACACTCACCCACCACCTCGCCGACCATGCCCAGGTAACTCAAATGTTCATATTTTATTTATAATACTGGCGTCGTAGACCAGGTCTCGATATTTTTTGTTTCTCAGGAATGTCAGACAACGAACAATTCTTGAGTTTTTCAACGCTAATGTGAAACATATTACTGACAACGCAGACCAGATCTCTGTATTATTTGTTTCTCACTCAACAATATTAGACAACGAACAGTTCTCATTTTTTTAAGCCTAACGTGAAACATCTTTCTATAGGTTGTGTGGGCAGAACAGCAGTATGTCAAGGAGAGGGTCAAGAGAGACGACTACGATCCCTTCGCTCCTCTCATCCGCGTCAAGAGGTTAGAAGACGCGGAACAAGAAACGAAAAAGGAAAGCAAGATGAAGAGGGATAAGATAGAGAGGAAGAGGAGGAGTAGGATTAACAGATCAGCCACTGCATCCCAGGTGAAGGGGTTTGAGGCCATGTTTAACGACGAGCTGTGGGACCATCAGTGGTACCTGGTGAGTCGTTTGAGGCATACCTGGGCAAGGTGAAAATACAGACTGGATATTTATCAGAAGAAATATAATGTTTTCAGTCTGACAAGGTTCAAAACGTCTCCTGACTAATTTTGAAAGTACTATGTGATTTGGTGGTAGGTAGTGTGGTCCTTGTTAAACAAGACTTTGAAATGTGCATAAAATGAATGAATTGAGTAGGACAAGAATCTAGAAATAGATATGAGAGAGAGAATATACGGTGTTTATTCACTGATTTGTACTCGCCTAGTTGTGGATGTAGAGGTCTCGTCTCGTCTCGTCTCATGGCCCTGCCTCTTACACTGACCGTTACTGGGTTCACATTATTATTATAATCAAGGGGTAAGCGCTAACCGGAGAGTTATCACCTGGGGGGAATTGAAGGCATTAAAAGCATTAATTCGACCGGACTAGGAGTCAAACATTACCTAATCATCGACCCTCACCAACATCATTGGAACACTTTCCTTGGGGCTACGGTTACAATCTCTGTATTTGATTCTTGTATGGCTCTGCTCTAATACATCGCTTGTCCAGATCATTTATTCCTGACCCATCTAAGGCTGAAAAAAGACCTTAACCCATGACTCAGGTGTTTCATAACTTCCTTGTGCACTGTGCACTGTTTCCATCTCTTGAATCTTCTTGACACCTTATCAATTCGTCGTAGTATCTTGTGGGTTCTTATGTCTCCCTGTCTCTTAATGTGTCAGGTTTAGCTCCTTTATTCACTCATCTACTACAGTCCGGACTAGCCCATGGTGAACCTCATGATTTTTTTTCATTCCTTGAATTGCTATGTAGCCCTGATCCATGTAGCGATTAAACTTCAAGTGCCTGGATTAATCGTATACAGTGTGATGAATGATTCTCTGAGATTCCTAAAACGTTATCTTAGATGTGTCCATCGGTAATTTGGTTGTGTGCCATAGATAATATGCTTGGTACTATGCTCACCTCGAGGTGCTCCTTGAGTAAGGTTTATAGCTTTAGTCCCCTCCCCCCTTTACTCCAACAATTTTCAAAATCATGCGCTTCCTGGGTTGAATTCGAATAACCAATTTTTCAAACCAACCCTGCAGTTTTTCAGGTCGGTTTGTTTTTATTCTACTCACTAGTTTCACATCATTTGTGAATATGGATACATCAGACACTCTCTTTTAGCATGTCAATGCATATATGTACTAGAAACAGTAATGGTCCACTATCAATCCTTGTGGCACCCCTCTTTCTGTTAGTGTGTGTTCTACCTATTTGTGGTTGCAGGAGTCGAGTCGTAGCTCCTGGCCCTGTTTCTTCGGTGGTCGTTACTAGGTCCAACTCTATCTCTGATCCAAGAGCTTTATCGTACCTCTTCTTAAAGCTATGTATGGAGCCTCCCTCCTGTGTGTGTGTGTGTGTGTGTGTGTGTGTACGTGTGTACACATCACTAATGATCCTATTCCATGCCATCGCTCGTGGTCAGTACGACACACGGACACGGGCAGAGCTGCCCAAGCTGGACCTGCAGGTGGTGAGAGTGTGGGAGGCGGGTGTGACAGGTCGCGGGGTGAGACTCCTGGTTCTGGATGATGGCCTGGAGTGGCGACACACCGATCTCACCCACAACTACGTATGTTTCTCCGCTCTTCGTTTAGGTGCTATAGGGCCCGTACAGTTTTAGCGCTTGTTTTTATTTATAATAATCTACCTTAAGCTCAAACCCTACTTGATGACATAAAAGATGTCGATGTGAATTTTCTTTTATGAGAAACACTAATTGCAACGTCAAATCGTTGACACTGAAGATTAATTATTGATGTTCATCATTTGTTACAACGTGAAACTTTTATTGCTGATGAGGACGAAAGCTGTTACTATGAAACTTACATCTTGAGATGATAAACTTATCCAAGGTGCCTCCCTTCATGATAACATAGTTCTAAAAACTCCACATTATAACATAGTTCCCAACACCCTACGTTATAATAACAGTTCCCACCATCTCAACGGAAATATCCTTCACCCTGTATGGAGATAAGTCACTATCTTTTTTGGGGGTTAGCCTAGGTAATTTACACTGTATGATAACTGCACTTATGTATGTGTACCTGTGCCTAAATAAACTTACTTAATTACAGGACGCTGAGATTAGCTATGACTTTAACGACAACGACGACGACCCGACTCCCCGCTACGACTCCCACTTCTCCAACTCCCACGGCACCCGCTGTGCTGGCGAGATCGCAATGACTGCAAATAACCATAAATGTGGTGTCGGTGTGGCTTACGGGGCCAGAGTCGGAGGTTAGTGTGGTGTTGGTGTCAAAAACTGTTCTGCTGCTATGCTGTTGGTTACACGGACGTATAGCATTTCAGATGAAGACAAATCAAATAATCTAACTTTCCCACAACTTTTTTTTTAATTATTAGAGATAGTTCCTCTTAAAATGTCACAAGTTCACAGAAAATAATGCTGATCAAATTTATTATAATGTGCTATTTGGGATACACACCGATGGGTATATTTTTCAATGTATATACACAAGGAGATTACTTTAAATCCCTACTTTTTAGGGGTTAATATATTCTTTATGCTTGTCTGTCAGTGAATTGTGCTTTGGCCCCTCAGTCAATATATAGGCATTAAACCTAAAAAATTAACTAGCCCTTTCCTGTTCCGTCTTCACAAAGTTCTTTCTGTCGCGGTGGCAGGGATTCGCATGCTGGATGGCCCAGTGAGCGACGTGGTAGAAGGTTTGTCACTGTCGTACGCCCTGGACAAGGTGGACGTGGTGAGCTGCTCGTGGGGCCCTACCGACGATGGGCAGAGGGTCGAGGGCCCAGGAAGGCTGGCGGAAATGTCCTTACAGATGGGCGTTACACAGGTGAGAAGCATTTACTTCATTACTATTTACACATCAAGTTTCAAGACGTTCCTACAGTTTTAAGCAAAACAAAAAAGTATGAAGCTAATTTACTGTTTTGATGAGCCCCAAACTCATCAAATAGTCGCTAGTCAAGAGGTTACAAAGTACAAAAAGTCCAGGAACGGGATGGCTTTTTTTTTTTTTTTTTTGGAAGGGGGGGAGGGGAGGTAAAGTTACAGTATTAACTACGAAATATTTAACAATGATATTACGATTGCAAACAAACCACGAAACAGGAGGGATTTGAATCCATGACGAGTGGCTTACGCACTGGCCTGGAATTTTACGACTCGCCATGGGTTCAGATTCCACTCATTCCGTGGTTTGTCAAAATGTCTTGAATAATTGTGAAATACTGAAGTGGAGGAAGACCATAAGCAAGTGTTCTCCATTACCAAAACATAAACTTAATATTAATGAGTTAATAAGGTATTTTAAAACAATATTCCTTGTTAACGTAGCACACTGCTGAAAATCAATCAGCTTAATTACGTAAAAATACAATATCTGAGCTACAGCGCTGAGCAGGTGCTGGTCCAGCGATGCTGTACTCACAACAAGTGTTCATAAACAGCTTCCTCTTGCAGCATCACAGCTTCATCTCATCACAATCACTCTTCCTCAACACCACAAGGTTTGTAGATAACTGGTTCAGAAAACCGACAGGTTGATGAATTAGATACTTATGCAACACTTGGGTATCTTTATTGTGGAAATATTTCGTCAGCCAGTGACTTCTTCTGTCCAATACGGTGAAGAATGGTTGAAGATCAGAAAGAGTTTGAGGTAATCAGTCCACCAGCCTGCAGTCGACTGATGGACTGAACATCGACTCCAGGATGATGGACTGATTACCTCAAGCTGCTCCTGATCGTCGACCATTCTTCTCTTTTCTGAACTGAAGAAGCCACTCCTTGTCGAAACGTTCCCACAATAAAGATACCCAAGAGCTGCACAAGTGTCTACCTTGACATCACAACGTTTCCTCCCCGTCACTACACATTTCCTTCCCCGCCTCAACTTTTCTTCCTCGCCACCAGAACTGTTCTTCTCGGCTACTGTCTAATTTTAGCGTGTTTGTGTGTGTGGGGGGGGGGGGTTAAAACAGGCACATGGTGCTAAAAGTTTTAATGTATTCACTAAAGTTCTGTAGTATTTCTTATGGTTCCCATTTCACAAATTTTAAACTGATGTAAACAAGTTGAACGTAAATTTTGTGCTGCCGATAAGAACGAGGAAAAGACGTACATTCCTGGACGAGCTTCGACTGGGACAATGTTTCGTTCTGTAAATCTCAACAGACCGAAAAGTTGTCCCCGATAAAGCTTGTTGTACAGTCTCTTTTCTTCGTGCCATAAACAAACCCAATGTAACTAGGGATGGTTGGAACAGCACTGTCTGCTATGATAAACGGAACTGTGATACTCACATTTATTTTCTTGTGTGCGTGTTAATACTTTTTTTTCCTGTAGTATTTCCTTTCCAGTTTAGAGGTCTGGTCTAAGACCCAGCCATGGGAAAACTGATCCCCAGAACAATTTTTTTAACAGATATAACCATAACTCACATTGTGATGTCTGTCTATCCAACTGTTCCTTCCACTGCTCGCGCACTGCTACTGACATCCTCCCAGGGAAAGGGAAGATTATATTGATACTGATAACGGGCTCTTGCTTCATGGAAAACCCCTCCTAGTCACGGTGGCCTTTCTCCATTACGTATCTTCTGAAGTGATTCTGTCCCTCCTGCGCTTGGCAGGGCCGCGGGGGTCTCGGGACGGTGTACGTGTGGGCAGCTGGCAACGGCGGGTCAGCAGGGGACAACTGCAACTGTGATGGCTACACCTCGTCCATCTTCACCCTGAAGCATCAGCAGCGCCTCAGAGACGGGCAGGTTTCCCTGGTATGGCGAGCAATGCGCCTCCACTCTCGCCGCCGCCTACTCCTCAGGCGCTTATACTGACCAGAAGATTGTGAGTGAGCATCGTTTTTTTTTTTTTCCATTTATTACACTACTGGTTCATTACCTATGACAGTTTCAAGATGCACGCAATATAGGAGTGATTATGGAAGGAAAGGGAAGTAGGACACAGACTTACGGATTAAACATATTTTCACAATTTCAGTCCTGTCACATTAGCTGCAGGTTACTTACGACTAATCGCGAAACTAACTCGAGAATCTGAGGAGGGGCTGATTTCAACATACATAACCTAACTGATAAATATTACAACTAAGCGCTAAACCCACAAGGGTCATACACCCAATGATAAAAACCTAACATATGGGTCCTTCATGGAGACGTAGGCAACACATGTATTTCCAATATATTATCTGCTGTTCCATCGACTGGAATTCTTCTTAAGAAATGTTCATTATATATTAACGGTAATGTAACCGACTAAACCTAACAAATAAACTTGTAAGGAAATGAGTTACGTAAAAAACTAAGTTAAATAATGACGTAATAAGTACGTATGTGACTTACGTCTAATGAGATAAGTGTCATGTATACGTTGAAATTCCTGTATATATCCCTAACTTAGGAGGCGTTAGGTAGAACCAGTTTCTCGGGTCAAGAGCTGTTCACCAGCATTAATGAACCCTCCCCCCTCCTTGAAGGTGGATATTATTATAATCATGAGGGAGCGCTAAATTTACAATACCGAGGAGGAGATGGAAGGTATTCAGACTTAATTCAGGAAAGTGGAGCACAGATCCAGTTCCCTAGATCAAGAGCCCCTCACTAGCATAAACTTAGTCTTATCTTTGGGTGTATCCCTACAGGCCACCACAGACCTTCACAATGGCTGCACCAACACCTTCACTGGTACCTCTGCCGCCGCTCCTCTGGCCGCCGGCATCATCGCCCTCGCTCTTGAGGTCAAGTATGTCACCTAGGTCAAGTTGTGTGTCACCTAGATCAAGTTGTGTGTCACCTAGGTCAAGCTGTGTGTCACTCAGGTCAAGTTGTGTTTCACTGAGGTCAAGTTATGTGTACGGAACTTGTAGGTCCTACAAGTCGTAAGCCAGGACAAACATATACCTCAAAGAATTGTGAATAAAACTCAAAGGAGAGAACATATAACAGGTACTGTTCAACAATTAGCTGTTTACGTTTTTAAAAAGAGTACTTGTGTGCAACGCTGGAGGCTGGATCCTCCCTCCGCAGCTCGATCCCTTGATCTCCCAAGGTGAAACTAATCTAACATGTCACATCCTGAACAGGATTTTTGGTAGTAATATATAGCCCAAAAAGTGATTTGTTTTTCTGGTTTCGATATAACAAGAAATTATACAGTACCTAAACTGAGTAGCAGTCGATATACAATGTCGTGGTTGGAGCAAACAGCTCGCAAATTGGAAACGAAAAATTAGACGACGTTTCGGTTTGTACAGGAGTCATTATTGTCGTATTGGGGCCATCTCCCTCCCTACCTCACTGTGCGTTCCACCTACAGTCCTCGGCTGACGTGGCGAGACATACAGCATGCTGTGGTCTGGTCCAGCGAGTGGGCGCCGCTGTCCCACAACGGTGGGTGGACCACCAACGCCCGCGGTCTCAAGGTTAATCTCGTTTCGGCTATGGTTTGCTAAGTGCCGAAGGTCTGGTCAACACTGTGAGGAACTGGACCAACGTGCCTCAGCAGAGAATCTGTAAAGCATCGCCCACTAACAGGTAAGACAACAGTTTAAAGTGACTGTCACCTCTAAACGCATCAAGGTATGACTGAATTTAAAATCATCTGTCATTACTGTATACAAATATCGGAGATATTATTCGTTTTGTGCTTCGTTTCATACTGGCCTTCGAATATATGATAGAATAGATAAACTAGAGAATTTTGTTAATCTGAAACAGACTGACACTGACACTTGAGAATCATATAAAACACGTATATAGCTCATTCAACATAAACAGAAGAATCTCAGATGTTACTACCGACCTACTTCGAATAGCTTACAAAAATCTCATGGAGTTTATTTTCAATGAAAAGTTGCCAGCAGAGTTATTAGCATTATTATAAACTTGAATGTCACTGGAGGATAAAAAAAATAGAGATATCTTTCACAAATATGCATAAACTGTCAAAATATTTAGTCCATTATGAGGAATTTGCAAATATTCTAGCCTTGTCAAGAGATTAATACTGCAACTTTTTTTTTAGTCATAGAACTTTGGAGGTCAGTTCTTGGACCCAATATTTGTCAATAAAATCAGGATATGAAAGCCACAATATCATGTCTGGTACAATTCATAAAGTACAAAATTAAAATTGGGCGAGGTTTTGAGTACTGGGGCGGGGACATTAACAGGGTGCGTAATATAAGAAGTAACTCAAATGAATATGCATACAAAACTGTTAAGGGAGCTGATTGCCAACACTGACACTGCTTCTGGCGATGAAAGGTCGGGGGCGACCTTGGAGAGCGGAGGGTGGGTGCTAGTGCAGTTCCTGAGTGACGGGTGCCATGGAGGAGATGATGAAGTGACAGCCCTGGAGCACGTCCAGCTGATTGCTACCATCAACTACACCAGGAGGGGCGCCCTGGCCATCACCCTCACCAGCCCCCAGGGTCAGTCTTCATCCTCACCACACACACCTATTTCAACAATGCAAAACAAGCCAACTGGGGATAAAAAAAAAAAAGCTAGCTTTAGGCCTTTCGCACTTCGGTGCTTCGTCGGCGCAATACTGCAAGAGGCACGCTGAAGGAAATAATTCTCAGAGGTAGGAATGTGTGTCAACTTACCTGTTGCAACTCTTGGAATATTGCGTAGTTAGTGACGTAGAGAATGCAAAAGGCCTGGAACTAGTGTTTTCTATCCCCTAACAGCTTCTTTTGCATATATATATATATATATATATATATATATATATATATATATATATATATATATATATATATATATATGCAAGGAGTTCGCAAGAGCAGGCGAAATATACACAAACACTGATCTCTGGCTGAAGGAGATTCGAACCTACGAACTTTGGAACAAGGTACGCAGTGCTTTACCAATCTACCCACACTGGACCAATACCTTGGAGTCCAGCTTGCGCTAGACTTTGATCCAAGGCAGCCAGCTTTCAGGGAGAAGGCTTACAGCTTTTCATCTCATCCCCTGCATGCATCAGCCTTACTGCGTACCTTGTTCCAAGGTTCGTAGGTTCGAGTCTCCTTCAGCCAGAGATCAGTGTTTGTGTATATTTCGCCTGCTCTTGCGAATTCCTTGCATTGTTAATATCTCTCGTAAGGCTGATGCATGCAGGGGATGAGATGAAAAGCTGTAAGCCTTCTCCCTGAAAGCTGGCTGCCTTGGATCAAAGTCTAGCGCAAGCTGGACTCCACGGTATTGTCCAGTGTGGGTAGATTGGTAAAGCACTGCGTACCTTGTTCCAAGGTTCGTATGTTCGAGTCTCCTTCAGCCAGAGATCAGTGTTATATATATATATATATATATATATATATATATATATATATATATATATATATGATTATATGTAAAAATTCATAATTTTGTACTAAAAGAACCTTAAAAAACTTACCTAACCTTATTATAACAAACGCAATTTAATTTATCCTAATCCAACTAAATACGTTTTTGATAAGTTTACAATAATTTAATAATGAACAAACACAATAAAACATTTTTTTTTTCGTTAGGTTCAGAATGATTTTTGCGAAATTATTGCATACACAAATTTTCGCACCAGACAATATTTTTGTTGCTTATTATATGGTTGAGGTGAGTTACTCGAGTGATGCGCGTGACCCACAGGGACGCAGACGAGCCTGTTGACACAACGTGAGAGTGACAGGTCCAACAAGGGCTTCACCAAGTGGGCATTTATGTCTGTACACACGTGGGGCGAGAACCCTGCAGGAGTCTGGAGCCTCAACATCTCAGACACCGTCAGTACACTCAGTAACACTCAGTGTAACACTCAGCTATTTTTTAATATTATCAATATCAGTTACACACTGATTTTTGTGGGTTATCCTAGTTAATTTATACGTATGTTACTATGTCTGATTATTGTACTTGTGTGTACCTTTACCAAAGCAAGCTTACGCATTTTTCTTGAAAATAAATTACTATTTATTAAAGTTTAGTAGATAAGAGTTTTCTATGATTTGCAGAGTGGAGGAGAAGAAAACGGAACCATCGGTGAATTGGAGCTGGTACTACACGGACGAAGGAGCTCCCTCAACACATGAAGGAGCAACGTAGCTACAGGATCAGTTACGACCAGGTGGTACGTATAATCATTTACAGAAAAACAAATGAAAATACTTATCAAACTGCATTAAAAATTATTAATAACGAGATGTATGATTAAGTCTCCTAACATCTACCGCCTCTTGTACTCCATAGTAGCATCGGTGGTTCAGTGGTAGAATTCTCGCCTGCCACGCGGGAGGCCCGGGTTCGATTCCCGGCCGATGCATGTTTTATTAAGGACCTCAGTGGAAATAAGTCACATTCATTTCCCTGGGTTATCATAGTTTGGATGTACTATCGTTTGAAGTATTTTTACTGTTGTCTGTGAAATATTTGTAGATTTTCTAAACTAAGATCATCTTACTGTTTTTCCATTCAATCAAATTTATTCTCTATAAGGATTACAATGCGGGGTTTACAGATTTTGGATATTGTGTGGTTTACATGTTTTAAAATACTAATTACAGAGGGGGCACCTAGCATGGCTAGGCATTTCGGGCAGACTTAGATTAATTCTTAACTTTAAATTATTACAGATTATGGTATTAAAGCTATATTAAAGCTATATTACTCACAAACTATATTATAGTTTGTGAGTTTAGCAATGTTTTTGATTTGGCACAATACATAGTGTCTATATTGGAGTATCACAGGCAAACTTATGACTGGTTAGGATTCATTATTTTAAGATTAAAATAATGTCCTGCATAATGTCCTATATTATATCTGGCTCACACACAAGTGACTGGAAGTTGTATTGTGCTTTATTGACTACATATGCATAATTAAATCAGCGTTGCTGGAAGACATCCGAGTCCTATTTATTTGTCTCACACACGAACTAGATGGTTCAAGGGTGGAGCAGAGGTTAGTTTAAGTAGATCTTATTGTGTTAGCTAACTTTCATTTTTACTATATCATTGTAGGAGTTCAAGGATGAGAGCGAGGAGGATGAGGTGAACCTTAGCTCCCAGCAGATGAAGACACTTTCCTGGGACCAGCTCCTCCAATTATTGGCTAAGAGGTGAACTTATGACTCTCCTTTTGAGATCTTTATGTCCTAGAAAAATACGTCGAGTATGCATTCTGATTTCAGTAGTGTTAAAATTCAATATCACTTGATTACGTTTTCGTCTTCCAGCACGCGATCAACTTTGTCAACAATGGACATTGAAATGCTTCTGCAAGATGGACGTCTCGAGGCTACATTACGAAACATACAGTCACAAGAGGCAAAACTAGAGTCGTTGGGGCACATCACGAAATTTGACTGGCAACTTGTTATGGATGAACTCATGGCAAGGAGGTAAACGACATAAAAAAAATGAAGAGCCACCATAAAACCATGTCATCTAGAACAAAAATGTCGAAAATTTCAGGCCTGCAGACTCGGCGTATCAATATTCTCATTAGGTTTATGTGAGAAGCATTATGGAGATCGGTGGTCACAGCTGTCTATTCTAAGAATAGGTATTGAAATAACAAATGAAAACAAACACACATTTTAGCTAAACAATGAGTTTACCTTAATTTTTTCAGGTTTGATAAAACTGACTTCATGATTAACGTTGAACTAAACTTCTGAGTGTGATGGAACTTAGCGGTATGCTTCCATGTTTTTAATACAAAAATTCGATAATAAAGTTTAGAAGATCAAGCTCACCACTTTTAAATAATCAAATATTATATTTTCCGAGAGAGGTCATGTTAAAAAAGATGGGTTAACAATTTGTTTAGTCCCTAATAGAAAAAGCTCATCATATTGGATAACAATTTTTACTTTGGAGAACAGCTCTACGTTTTTCTAGTGACCACTACTGTAAATTTTAACGTTAACTCCACTAACCAACGACGTATAATAAAAAGAGGTACTGACACTAAATATTCCTGACAGCATAGGCCTATATACATAGTGCCTCACTCCCTCACGTTTATAAACACAAGTACAAAGGACAAATGTGCATGTCTTTAGTTACCCCAAGATTGTGAAAAATATCTACCATCATGCTTTATTTCTTTATCGAGAATATATGTATACTTGCTTTTCATCTAACATTAATTTTCATTGACTGTATTTTTAAGTCCCCTTTATTATAACTTAATATCCACAAATTGCATTTATCTCTTATCAGCATGAAACATCAGCTGTTATGTAATGTCATGGTGAACTCTACATATGTCCCGTTGGCTGGTAACTCGTTACTGGTAACTGGTACTACTGAGACATAAACACGCATATCGGAAGAGTAGCGAGTTCTTCCCAGGCGAGAAATGTGTTCAGATTCTGTCCACTGAAAAAATAGATTTATTGTAACTGGCTTATAATTACCTTAGAAGTCAACCCGAGGCAAAGTTCTTCAGTAACCAGGCACGCTCCGGATAGACATCATACCTTGCAACAGCTTGGCAGAGATAGAATTTCAAAATTCAGCTATGACAAGCGTTTGGGAATCCGGAAGACAACCGATGTTGAGTCACGACAGCAAGTTTGTTTGTAAGGAGTACTTGTACATGCTTAAGGTGGTGCTAGTTGCTGTGTTCCAAGTGTAAGGTTAATCCACATGACAGAAAATCAATCTTAACTCGTGTTCAGTTGACATTTTTGGTACATGAGCTCTGGTAATTAATAAAGATAAAGTCGAGTACCTTTGTTCTAAAATCCTGTATCTGAATAATTTTATATTCAATAAAGAGCCTAAATTTAATACTGGGCTTTCAGTTCTTCCTTTCACCTGATCCCCATATTAATTCATGCATATTTTGGCTTCTATTATTCCCTTCTACCCTTATGGGCCATGTCTTTAGCTATGCTTACAACTGCTTACGAAGCCTGCATCAACTAGTACTTCATACAGTTCGTGTGTGTGGGGGTGAGGTTGTGGATGGATGAGTGGACGAGTGGGTGGACATAACCTTACCGGGGTCAGGGGCAGCTGCTGAGGTCAGTAATGGTATGCCACTTCAGAGGTTGCGTCTAGGTCCCTTAGTCTCTTACCCCTGCTTGTCACACCTACAAGTCTCTCTTCTCCCTCGGGGCGACTCACAAGGGTCTCGTTTACCACGCTGGCTGCCACAGGGTCGTCCAGGGCGTGATCCTCTTGTGCTGAAATTTGCGAGCCCTGAATGACGAGGGTGAGGCGGGGTGCCCAAGGTCTCTTGTTGCTCGCAAGACGCCAGGGAACAGTATGGTAGGAGATACAGGTTCAAGGCGCCAGGGAGCAGTGTGGTAGGTGATACAGGTTCAAGGCACCAGGAATCAGTATGGTGGGTGATACAGGTTCAGGGAGCAGTATGGTAGGTGATACAGGTTCAGGGAGCAGTATGGTAGGTGATACAGGTTCAGGGAGCAGTATGGTAGGTGATACAGGTTCAGGGAGCAGTATGGTAGGTGATACAGGTTCAGGGAGCAGTATGGTAGGTGATACAGGTTCAGGGAGCAGTATGGTAGGTGATACAGGTTCAGGGAGCAGTATGGTAGGTGATACAGGTTCAGGGAGCAGTATGGTAGGTGATACAGGTTCAGGGAGCAGTATGGTAGGTGATACAGTTTCAAGGAGCAGTATGAAGGTGATACAGATTCACTTGTAAAGTCATAATACATGATGGGGCCTAAAAATAATGTCTAAAATATTTCTGGACGTTTATAAGCATAAAGTAATTATAAGAAACTAGCTTTTATTTCTATTTCTACTTCCTTTCCCTTTCTCTCCTCCTCCCCCTTCTTGCTTACCTTTCTCTCCTCCTCCCCCTTCTTGCTTACCTTTCTCTCCTCCTCCCCCTTCTTGCTTACCTTTCTCTCCTCCTCCCTTCTTGCTTACCTTTCTCTCCTCCTCCCCCTTCTTGCTTACCTTTCTCTCCTCCTCCCCCTTCTTGCTTACCTTTCTCTCCTCCTCCCCCCTCTTGCTTACCTTTCTCTCCTCCTCCCCTTCTTGCTTACCTTTCTCTCCTCCTCCCCCTTCTTGCTTACCTTTCTCTCCTCCTCCCCCTTCTTGCTTACCTTTCGCTCCCGCTGATTTTTTCTTCTTTCTCTTTTTTCTACTTCAAACAACAAAAGCAATTGCATTATTATTATTATTATTATTATTATTATTAAATCCCAAGGAGCCGATAGATATTCACCAAGTAAAACTATTAATGTGTTGGTAAGGAAACTGAGCCCAAGAGGTCAATGCCGGGGGCTTCTGAGGTCACGCTGGGTCAGGCAGGGGTCATCAACAAGTGTCATCTTACTCCTGGGATGAAGTTCATCTTGTTAGCAGGTATTGACAGTGGTGGAAGGATGGACTGGGGGTGTACGTGGCAGCGATGTGTCCGTGATGTATCTGAGTGGCATACTGTACGTGGCAAGGACAAGTGTAAACATTGATTCGACTGGATAACAACAAATTTGCTACTGATGTAAAAGTTTACTCTAAATTCGAATCTGAAATCAAAAACAAACCAACATGTTGGGATTTTTAGTTACAGAAAGAATTTAAGTAAATTTTTTTTCACGTATTTTGAGTACTGCTGATAGACGACAACAAACAGAATTTACATACTTAATGTGTGCAGCTGCATAATGTAATTGATATTTTTTTAATGAACAATGCCTGAAAGAAATTTCTGTTATAAGCAAACAATACTGACGTACTGACTTAGCCCTGAGTTCACATCTGTAATCACAGTATATTAATAAGTCAAATATATTTACCTCAGTAGCAGATTACACGTCGTTTGTTTTTGGTCAGTGTTGTTCATGGGTCAGAGTTTGTCTGGGGAAGAGGAGAGACGGGGTTAGTATTTTTTCCTTGGTCAGGAGAAATGGAAAAATTTCAACATGTACTGACTACCTCCTTGAAGGTATGTGATTCGGGCAGTTCGTTTGACCCGGTCTTGGTGGATGAGCTTCACGTGGTAGAACTGGTGGATAGATTGCATTATGTGGTAGAACTGGTGGATAGACTGCATCATGTGGTAGAACTGGTGGATAGATTGCATCATGTGGTAGAACTGGTGGATAGATTGCATTATGTGGTAGAACTGGTGGATAGATTGCATTATGTGGTAGAACTGGTGGATAGATTGCATCATGTGGTAGAACTGGTGGATATACTGCATCATGTGGTAGAACTGGTGGATATACTGCATCATGTGGTAGAACTGGTGGATAGATTGCATCATGTGGTAGAACTGGTGGATAGATTGCATCATGTGGTAGAACTGGTGGATAGATTGCATTATGTGGTAGAACTGGTGGATATACTGCATCATGTGGTAGAACTGGTGGATAGATTGCATCATGTGGTAGAACTGGTGGATAGATTGCATCATGTGGTAGAACTGGTGGATAGATTGCATCATGTGGTAGAACTGGTGGATAGATTGCATCAAGTGGTAGAACTGGTGGATAGATTGCATCATGTGGTAGAACTGGTGGATAGATTGCATCATGTGGTAGAACTGGTGGATAGATTGCATCATGTGGTAGAACTGGTGGATAGATTGCATCATGTGGTAGAACTGGTGGATAGATTGCATCATGTGGTAGAACTGGTGGATAGATTGCATCATGTGGTAGAGCTGGTGGATGGATGAGTTTCACCCTTGTTTCTGCAAGACTGGGGACGTGGTAGTTGCCATGGGACCACCTCACTGTTACCATTACATCCGCTGAGCGATACCCTTAATCCTTACCCCTACACGGCTGGCACTGCTGGCACCGCTAGCACTGCTGTCATTGTTGGCACTGCTGGCACCGGTGGCAATGCTGGCACCACTGGTTCGCCAACTTGTTCTGTTCGAGCGTGTATCTCTCGTCAAATTTCCCTTCGTTCATTTCTGCACTATCGAAATATTACACGCAACTGAATATTTGTTAGCTTACATTTGGTGAGGTTAATTTATATTAACATATAATTATTTTTTTCTTCTTCTCTTTTTTAGTAATTGTATACAGGAGAAGGGGTTACTAGCCCATTGCTCCCGGCATTTTAGTCGCCTCATACGACACGCATGGCTTACGGAGGAAAGATTCTTTTCCACTTCCCCATGGACAATAGAAGAAATAAAAAAGAACAAGAGCTATTTAGAAAAAGGAGAAAAACCTAGATGTATGTATATATATATATGCATGTGCGTGTCTGTGAAGTGTGACCAAAGTGTTAGTAGGAGTAGCAAGATATCCCTGTTATCTTAGCGTGTTTATGAGACAGAAAAAGAAACCAGCAATCCTACCATCATGCAAAACAATTACAGGTTTTTGTTTCACAGTCATCTGGCAGGACGGTAGTACTTCCCTGGGTGGTTGCTGTCTACCAACCTACTACCTGCCTGCACTCTGAAGGAGGGGTGTTAATGTTGCAGTTTAAAAACTGTAGTGTAAAGCACCCTTCTGGCAAGACAGTGATGGAGTGAATGATGGTGAAAGTTTTTCTTTTTCGGGCCACCCTGCCTTGGTGGGAATCGGCCGGTGTGATAATAATAATAAAAATATAATTATTTATAATTAACAATTACAAAAAAATAGTTTAGTCTGCCAGCATGGAGCGTATTGTAATAACTTAGTGCGTGTGTTTTCTAACGCACTGCAATTTTTCTTTAAATATGACTGAAGAGGATCCCAGAAGATGGTCGAAATGTACAGTTTATTCAACTTTCTGAGTTTCTGTCTCCTTGTGGGTTATTAACGAGCATTTCCAAGTGTTCATTAAACTTTAGTTATCCACGAAAATTAAACAAAATTAATGATTCAAGACAACACCAAAATATTTATTTACCGCTAGGTGAACAAGGGCAGCAGGTGAACAAGGGCAGCAGGTGAACAAGGGGAAGTAGGTGAACAAGGGGAAGTAGGTGAACAGGGGAAGCAGGTAAACCTTGAAGCAGTACATACCACGCCGACTGTACTGACCACCTCGTTACAGATTACAAGAAGACACTCGACACCTGTGTGTAAGGATGGGAGACAGGTGTAAAGGAAGGTGGCAGGTGTGAGGTGTAGGTGTGACTCAAGTTGGGTTTTGCGTCAGAAAATAACTAGCAAATGAGTTTGAAGTAGAACGGTGCATATAGGAACCAGCAGATCAATTTGTCCGTCGTAATGAAATGTGTCTAGTTTATGAAGGAAGCTTCAAGGTGAGCACAGTGCAAGATGTTGTTACTGTTAAGATTAAGTCTAGGCTATGAGTGTCTCTGGCAGTACGGTTCATACAGTGCTGGCAATGCCATAAAATGGACAGAGACAGGGACATACTCTGGAACAGAGTATCGAAACATCCAACCTTTCAGAAACACCTCCATGGCAGAATATTTCATTGTTAATAATACCTGAAATCTTGAGACTGTATCCATATTTCAGGTCGATTAGATAAGCATTTTTTCCAAGAAACTGCAACCCAATAATGACATGTTTTAGTGGCAAGCAGATACTTAAATGGTTTTGAGGATCTAACTCCATATTGTATTGTGTTCACCAGCTATATGAAAAAATTGTAGTACATAAATTTACTTTTTTTTTTCGTGGTGTAAATAGGCTTGTTGCCTCTGTATTTCTCTTTGGCGTTATCGTTCACAGGATAAACTGCTATCCGCTCAGGCGGCGTAACTAACACTCCGCCCACGGATAACCCCGCCCACGGATAACCCCGCCCGCGACTTACACCGCCCACCAACTTACGAAAATTCAACCTAGTCAGGGCGGAAGAAGCTG